AGTGGGAAGAGACAAAGAAGAAAAAGGTTGGATTTTTTGGCACATTAGTATAGTCTCATCAGAACAGTAGATTCTCTGGTAAATATTTTAATTACTTCCATTTGCCTTTCATATTAGTGTTGTCACGTAAGCTTTCTCTTCTATTAGGCATGGCCCCATAAAATACAGTATTTTTACCTTCCCTGTTTTGAAGAAGAGAAGCGGGGACAACTGCTTATGCCTTGCTTTTAAGCTTTTTTCCTTATGAGGCAATTCTCAGTATCACTACCTAGCTCCATCAATTTTGTCAGCACCTTCCTTCATTGCATTAGCTTGAAGGGTAAGTCAGCTCCAGAAAGTATCAAAGCAACAAAAATGACAGAGGGTTTCTCTGTCCCATGCAAGTGTCACAGAAGGCCTGAGCACACTGTCAAAGACAATCAATTTTATCCTTAAGCAAACTGCCTGGAAACTGAGGACTTAAATCCACAGCCTAATAAAATCAATGGTTTTGGTTTGGTCTTGGGACAGTAAACATAAGTGGTATTTTTGGGAAGTGGAAGCAGAACGTGGCTGAGTATCTTGTGATCACCTGTCATCCAAATAGAGACAGCAAACACATGGAAACTTCCAGCAAAGTTTATAACTGAAGCATGAGCCACTTCTCAGTTATATATGTCTACTAACTGGAGCATGCATTCTTTTGTCCTCACTGGCCTCAAAAATTTTGCCTCTAGCTTCAGCTGAAGGAAGGATAGGTTCTGAAAATTTGCTGTCTATGATTAAATCCCAGGATTTAATCTCTGCTTTGAAGCAAATGACCACTTTAAATTTAATCTCATTAGAATCAAAATTTCCTTTCCTTTCAAACAATCAAGTCTGCTTAGTGAAGTGTCCTTGATCATAAGCTGCTTTCATGAAATAAAGGTTATTTTATTTTATTAGTGATTTGTTTACATTCATCTGTATCTATACACAAACAAATACTGTGTCCTATTTGTCTCTGCATTCCACACCAAGAGCAGCTGCCTGTGAACAGCAGCAGGGTCACTCTTTAGCCACGCCAGGACGATGAAGGGAAGGGTTGGGGTTTGCCACAGCCAGAAGGAGCAGGTGGCATCGCTCCCCACTGCCAAGCAGCTCCTGGGAGCCCGGCGCTGTCAGCCTGGACAGACCCTCAGCCCCAGGCTAGAACTGAACCTACAGCTGAACTTCACACTGGGCCAGTTCCTAAGACACCAGCATGGGAATCCTGCACTGCTGTTTGTGCTAGCAAATGTTAACTAAACTTTTCCAACCTTCACCGAGGTCAGATACGGCCTTTACTACTTAATGGCAATTGGAGTATGGCAGAATGTAAGCAAAGGGATATGAAACTATTTTTCTGCCCTGGTGGATGTGATCAGATTACAAGTATGATAAACAATTATCTGCCAAAGAATACAAGTTAGAGACAACAAGAAGTCTAAAGATTGAGAAGAAGACTGTCAAGATTTAGGAAAATATTTTAAATTAGATGGGAAAATCACAAAAATTACTAACTTAGCACTACTTTGAAAGTTTTGGTAAGTTCCAAATCAAACAAACTATATAATCAAAATAGTATTTTCTTTTTTCAAATGAAAAGCAAATTCACTATTATGTAGTTTCTGAAATTCTCTTGACACCCTTGGGTATTTTAAGAATATATTACTTGTTCAGAAAAGGTAGATGGAAAACAGCTTTCTCTCATCTAAACACTCTAAATTAGGTGAGATTCACTAATTTGTTGAACTAAATTCTGGTGAGGACTAGAAGCCAGTTTAGAAAAAAAACCTCAGACCTGTCTGGCACCGCATGTTGGTAGCAAATACATCAACAGGGAATTTACTCTCCAGTGGTCAAATTTGCTCAAATCTGAAGAGAGACAAGACTAACACAATTAGGAAAAAGTGACCAGGATCAGTTGCTTCTGTTAAGCCCAAATATCTGCCAAAGTAAAGTCCTGACAGAATATGCATGTGCACCATGGAAACTGTCAGGTGTTAGGGTTCCCCAGTCAAACTGGGGAAAATAATAAATTCTTCTGTACAGCACCTGCCAGCTAAAACTTCACAGAAAACATTGTTTATTAACAGATGTTTATTAGCAGAGTCAGTCACCTAGGATGAATCAGTATTTTAAAAAAAGATTTGCTATTGTTAAGGTTTAATAGTATTTCTAACACGAGAAAACTCCAGCAGAGAGCATCCAGGGGAAACCTCTGGCTACCAGCCAGTCCACCAAAAGCACAGGGCACATAAGACAGAGCCACAATTCAGACTCCAGCACAGCACCAGTGCATGCAGAGCAGGAGCAGGCCCTTCCAAGAGCTTCTGGTTTTAAGCTCCTGCCCCCAAATGAAAAGATACCCACCCATTTCAAGGTAAAAAGAGCAACTGGAAAGATACTTGAAACAATAGGAAAAAAAATGCTTAAAAAAGACAATGAGGCCACTCACCATAAAGCCACTCAAGGGTTCATTACCTTGGGCAGCCCTCCTTTCATAATGGAAAACCACATGCCCTTGGCCAACTGCTGTGTGTGAGCAAAACTCTAGTAGTCATCAGGCATGGTCTGAGAAGTGCCCAGATGCAATCGACCACTCCAGACCCAGCAGGATCAATGACAGCTTCCCAACAGCCATATGGAAAGCCCCGGTGAGGTGGAGACAAGCCTCAGGGAATACCATGACAACACAAACAGCTCTCCCTCTGCCAACACTGTGATGTCTGAAGGCACAGAGGGCAAAACCTCTCCTGTCCTGCCTCCTCACAGCTTGCTGTGGGACTCCTGCAGCCCTGCTCTGTTCCAAGGCCAGAAGTGGCTATCACAGCCCGGCCGGCCCACAGCAGGTGGGCCACAAGACTGCACCGAGCTCACGAAGTCATCCTCTCCACTCCAGTCAGCTGGAATATGACATGACCTTGCAGCAAAAAAGAGGTAAGAGGAAGACTAAAAAGAAAGCCTGTTGTATTTGTTTATATATTAAAAAGTAAAACCAAACCAATACATTTTAATGACATTTTAAAGTTGTTGTAGCTTGAAGTATTTCTTTTAAAAAATGTTACTAGTTTAATCTGCATAAGACTCAAGGGTGTACATGGTCGAAGTATCAACAGACCAAGTATGAAAATAGAACATTCTTAAATACTTGCTCATCTCAGAAGTAGCATTTCAAAACAATTCTGAAGCCTTCTGCTTTTGTCATTTCTTTTTTTTAAAAGTTCTTAAAGGCAGGACATAAATACACACGTGTGTGTGTGTGTACATATAGAGATATATACAGACACACTCATGCACTGTAGTGACAAGCTGAGTGATGTGGTCAACACAGCCAAGGGATACCATGGGATGCCATCCAGAAGGACCTGGACAAGCTCCAGGAGTGTGCCCACGGGAATCTCCTGAGGCTTAACAAGACTGAGTGCTGGTGCTACACCTGGGTCAGGGCAACCCCCAGTACCAGCACAGGCTGGGGATGGACAGACCAGAGCAGCCCTGCCCAGAAGGACTTGGGGTGCTGTGGGTAGAGGCTGGACATGAGCCAGCCATGGGCACTCCCAGCCCAGAGAGCCAAACGTGTCCTGGGCTGCATCCAAAGCAGCGTGGGCAGCAGGGCCAGGGAGGGGATTCTGCCCCTCTGCTCTGCTCTGCTGAGAGCCACCTGCAGGGCTGCATCAGCTCTGGGGGGCCAGCACAGGAAGGACATGGAGCTGCTGGAGGAATAGGAAGTCACCAGAGGAAGTCACCAAGATGATCAAAGGGATGGAGCATGTCTCAGAGTGTTAGGACTGGCCAGCCTGGAGAAGAGAAGGCTTTGGGATAAGCTAATGACAGCCTTCCAGTAGCTGAAGGGAGCCTGTAAGAATGCCAGAGAAGGACTTTTTACAAGTGCATGTGGTGACAGGACAAGGGGAAACTGCTTCAAACTTGAAAGAGAACAGGTTAAATTGGATACTAGAAAATAATTCTTTACTGTGAGGGTGGTGAGTGACTGGCACACAGGTTGTGGATGCCCCATCCCTGGAAGTGTTCAAAGCCAGGTTGGATGGGGCAATACAAAACCTGTTTAGTGGAAGCTGCCCCCACCCATGGTGGAGGTACAGGCTTGAACTAGATTTCCAATGTCTCTTCCCTCCCAGGCCTTTCTATGAGTCTATGAAACCAAACAGAACAAAAATGCAAGGAGTCAGCAGTGTGTGAGCAAGGGGCTTTCCACTGATGAGAGATGGGAAGTGCTGAAGCAGAGTGCAATTATTTTCGAAGTAAATTAAACACATAATAATAAGAGCATGCCTGGACAGAGTGTGCTATCAGTTTCAAAATAAACTAGCCTACAATATGTGAAATGGATGGCCACTGATAATGTAACTTCAAGTCCAGTTTTTCCACTTGGAAAATCTACCCATTATCTCCTGGTAAATAAATTTGTCCTTAGTATTTCTAAATTAGGGAAGGTCCTTAACCAGGCTTATTACACCTTTCTGCATGTGTATTCACTATTTATGTGGATGGCATACTACTGTTTACCCTATAGTGGACTACAGTCATTACTGATCTGCTTAGAACACAGTTCCTACAATAAAAACCAAGATGGACTCTAAGTCTGGTAACAGACTCATCAATCACACCCTAAATGCTACAGGTATTATTAAACATATTCAGATATCTTTCCATTCAGGTTCTGAGCACCAGTCCTTTGGGTCTCACAAAAAAGGAGTAAATGCTTTCATAAGCTGAGGTGTTTTTGCTAAATAAAATAATTTCTTTCAGCACTATCATTTTCCCCATACCATATAGCTCTTCCATTTCAAAAAACGCAAAACCAACAAATAAAGATTTCAGCATGTTATACCCCACAACAAATAAAATAAGATGTATTAGAAATTATTGGTAATATTCAATAACCGATGCCTCACTGATGCATTTGATCCACTATGCATTAGTGAACTAAGATGATAATTAAGATGTCAATTAAGAAAAATAAGCAAATATTTTGGTTTTTATCATTTCAATTTTAATACAATTAAAAAAAAGTAAATGTTATGCATGGTAATGTTTATTAAACAATCACATTTTATTTAAGCATTAAAATGCAGCAGTCTGTAAAAGCTGCCAGAAACAATGTTTGGCTTCAGAAAAGGCGATTATTAAATTACTTCCAATAAAATTCAAATACTCTCTTGTCTGTTGATTAGTTGAATGCTTTAGACTGGAAAGAACAAAAAGTGCAAATCAGCTGAATGTTACTTTCAGAAGTAAAGTCTTAGTGTCCTACAAGCAATTACTGGAAGGCCTCACCTCAATCTTCATGATAAAGGACAAAATTCTCCAAGTCCTACACAATTATAATTTACTGTAACATTTCAAGCAATGTAACATTATTACTAAAACAAAATTAATTCCAAAATATAATTGCCTATCATGAGCACCTCTTTCCTTTTTTTTTTTTGTTTTTGTTTTCTTTGTTCAAATTTGCTTGACATAAGATGGCATGACATACATTTTTACTGGAAAACTGGAAACTTACATGGAACAATGCAGTTAAACCACTTATAGGAACATGTTCTAGCTTTACTTAACTTATACCTAAATATACTACTTTACATTAAAACATTCATATTGTGGTATTCTGTTTCTGCTGATACACTTTGAGCAAAGTGACTCATCACAGAATAGGTTTAGTTTGTTGTTCATCAACTTTATGGGAGGATTTGGAAAAAAATGGACGAAGGTAAGATATATGGGCAAATTTTAGGCATTTAGAAATTGTTGGGTTTTTTTTTTTAATTCAACACAACTATTCAGTGGCAGTTTGAAATAAAAACAGAGTATCTTTCCGGCTCCCAAATCACTTCAGAATCACTTCATATGCAAAGCTAATGAAAAAACACTGAGATTATCATCTTAGCAGGGCTGTAAGAATACACCAGCAATTTTCAATTTGTTCTTGTAAAAATCTTTTAAAACATTGTGAAAACATGTTCTTATATGTGGGTACTGCTGCTTGAAACTGAACAGTTGCTCAACATCCAGACAACTATTACAATCTTGCAAAAGCAAAGCAGCTTATAAGCATAATAAACAAATGGTCATTTTGCTAAAATTGAAACCTAATTTAGTAATTTGTAGAATGACTCTTTTAAACTGTGCAACACAAAATAATGTAGCCAACAGTAACATACAGGTACACCATTTAATATTTATTATATGCATTTTATATACATTATTTTTCAACAGCTGTACTTTTGCTATGCGGTACAATCTTAAAAATTTGCTGATTCATAGTTTGTAAAACAGAAACCTTACAAAACTCATCAAAACTCGCAAACTGATCAGAAAAGTTTTGTGGAAGACTAGAAAAAATACTTTGTTGTATTAATCATGCATTACACAAACAAAATTTTTAGTTACACCATAAACTGAAGCACATCTGAAAAATAAAATAAAAGCAGGGAATAACTAGTCAAAACACAGCAGATTTATGAATCTTGAATTAACTACTTTTGTATTCTATCTGAAATGCAAATAAAAATAATTTTCACTCCAAAGGTTCTGAAACAAGATTATTTTTTTGGAATCAACTCCACTCCAGGTACTTAACCAGAGGAAGAAGAATTTCTTGGTTTGCAACTTTAGAATTATCAAATGTCCCATTTTTTCATCTATTTTAGACTGTTCAAAGAGTGCCATAACAGATATACAGGGCCCTTTAACACACTACATAAAAGGATATAAAGACCAACAAAAAGTGAAATAAATAACAATAGGCCATTAGCAAGATGGGTAATCCTTGATAAATAAACTCGTAAATACAGTAAGATGTACAAAATATCACATAGTGATAGGATGCCAAGATTAATTTTTTTTTAAGAGTTCATTCAGGGGTGTTAACCCCTCTGTGTTTCATTTGAACACATTTTACAGTCCTTTATTTATGAAGACAGTTATGTGATGATGATGAATTAGCATCCTTAAGCAAGGACTTAGCTGAGCTGTATTAGGCAAAAGAAGGGAAGATTGTGGTTACACGGCAGCGGGTCAGTGAGATCTCTGTGTTTTAGGGTTCTATAATGCAGAAAAACATTATCAATACAATCTTGAGCACTGTTGTGACAGGCTAAATATATAAAAAGACTTATAAAAACTAGAATTTTATCCAAACATTTTGTGCAACTAATGCTAAAATATTTTAAGTTAAATTTCCTTTTCTTTAAAGCAAAATAAAAGTTTAAAAGGGGAATCTGTGGCATTCAACTGATAAACAGAAGATTACTAAGAGATGAAAAGAAAGCTACTCTTGGAGCTCACTTCCCCCCACAAGAGCACCACATTCCTAACCCTAAGGCAGCACACAGAGTCCAAAATAAAAGTCTTTTGTAAGATCAGACTCCACGTTTGCTTAAAGACACCTAAAGAACAGACATACGCTCAGTTCATATCCAGTCAAGGCTACAAATACTGGTTTTCTTTTTTGTATTTGTCCCCACCCCCCACAAAATACAGTAATTACAGTTAAATGAATGAGCCTGACATTGTTCAGGATGTGGTGACTTTTCACCAACTTCTACCAGCCCCACTTAAGAGCCTTCACTCAGGCAGATCAGATGTAGTGTCTTATTGGTAACCTTATACTTGATGGCAGTGACGCATTCCCTCTTTTTTGTCCAAACAGACCTGCTGTTATGATGCAGGTTTGTTCTGCTATGTCACACAAATACTTTGGCAAGGGCATCAGCTCCTGCACTGGCAATATATGCTTTTGATGGATGAAATGCTACATCATAAATTGATTCATCCAGCTTTTTCCTATGAGCTGTTATTTCTTGCACACATGTCTTGCTGTCCAAATTCCACAACCTAATGGAACAATCATGGCCTGTTTAGGAAAGAAAGAAAGGAAAAAGACAAGGTTATATTTGTCAGAAATTCAGTGCATTTTAAATGCATAATTTATATAGAACATATAGAATATGAAAAAAAAAACCCAAAACCCTTACTTCCAGACATTAAATAGATTCCATTAGGATCTACAGCTAGACTTGTGACAGCATCCAAGTGAGCAACCATAGAATGGATCATTTTACCTAAAAGAAAAATAAACAGTTAATTACTTGTGAAGTACTGTTTATTTAAAAATCATCAACCCACTCCCCTTAAACACAATATAAGACAACATGCTTATTTAGAGTCCAGTAATATTTGAATATTCCTATTCCATTAGAAATCATGAAGTTTCAACTGCAGACTCTTGTATAAACATAAGGCCAAATGACACACAACTCTCAAAAAGGTAAACAATCTTTATCCACTTGGCATCTTTATTGGCAGCAACAACAATGAAGACCTAAAATGGCTACATGAGAACCTTTGTCTCTTAAACGTCCTAATAACTGCCCCAGCAGGAGAGTGTTGATGAAGCTTTGTAAAATGAGACTTACTAAGCGATATCAATGGTCCATCTTTCTCTGTCATTGCCAGGAGAGAAAAATAAGGCAACTGTAGGTGATGCTTGCCTAAAATACTCTCCAGCTTCTAACAATTAACTGTTTGGTTATGTCACAAACCAGAACTGTTAACTCAGCATTCAAGTACTCTTAATGCAAGTACTCTTTTTCTTTATATTGACCACTGTTCCTGGACTCCTAGTAACATCTTTTAGCACCTCATGATGCTTTTTGGAAGGAGTTCCAGAATGTTTAACCACACAGAAGAATCACTGCCTCTCTCCTGTTTTAAGTCTGTCACCTGTTGGGGATTAGCAACTGAACCTCAGTCCACGTGTTGTAAAAGAGAGCAAATAAATCCCCGTAAGACCATGACCAACATGAAGAAGATGTATCAGCTTGGTTCAGTTGCTCCTCTTCCTGAAGAACCTCAGCTTATTCAGTTTCTAATATTCCTCCTGAAAAATCTAAAAACTACTGAAAATCTTTGATCACCTTCCTAACCATTCTCTGAAACATATTAATTTGGCTATATCCCCTTTGAGATAAGGGAGACTCCATTCAAAGTATTCATACAAAGATATTAAAAATGTTCCCTTTTGCTTTTTATTCCTTTCTCTCCGTCTAATACACATTTTGCTATTCTGACTGCTAAGCAACAAACTACTATTTTTATCTAACCTCTTATTATAACTCTAAGGTTTTACTTTGAATAAGACCAGTTAGCCCAGTAATTATTATTTTATAGTAAAATGTTTCTTTTTCCTTACATGTATAATTTCACATTTATCCACATGGAATTTAATTTGCCTGCTTTTTAAGATCTCCAGTTCTTCCTCATCAGCCTTCACGTTTAAAAACCTGAATTAATGAATATCAGGTAACTGCCAATATACTCTTCCCTGTTCAGATGACTCACTATGTTGAAATATTGCTCATACCTCCAGACAAGCAGATATTTTATCCCACAGAAAGACCATTTACTTCTACCCTCTCTTTCTTGTCTTCAACCCAATTCTTTATTCATGCTGATTTTTTTTTCCTTACTCTTTGTTTCTTTGAAGTAATAAATCTTACTTTCAGCAACATCAATGCAATGCATTTTATGACCACAGTTCAAATACATACATTCATGGCAGGTGCAAAATAGAAAAAGTGTCCAGCTTTTTTACTTTAGGAAACAAAAATCCCAGGAACACCATCCCCTACTCAGACCAAACCAAACACTTCAAACATGTGTTTTGTACATGCTTACTTAAAGTGAGTTTGATGTTTTTTTCCTTTCAACTTTGATAGGTAACATGTAGGAAGTGACAGGTAATTTCACAAATAGGAAGTTTAAGCTTGCTCTTACAATTATTTTAATGTTTTTGTCATGACAGACAGTGCAGCTTTCTCCTATAGCCTTCTTTACCCTCTTTCTTCCATATCCTTTTCTGTTTTATAAACGTTATCAACAACTTAAGTATAACACAGGATTTCATTACCACAATGAATTTAGGGTTATTTCTTGCCCTAATAGGTACTAAGTGATCTTTTTTACTACTGAGATTTGAAAAACGTAACTGACACATGCTTAGAGTTAAAAGCATGGAAATGATCAAACAAGGAACAGATACTCTATAAATTACAAAAGCTCAAAATTAAAGGTCTTTCTTGTCCCTCACAACTACCTCTGCCTGTTTTGAGAGTGTTTTCTGACTTCAAGTCCCAATTGCAACAGATATCAGGCATCACTATTTCACAGAGAAGGTACTGAAAAGGTTCAATCTTAGAAATACCAAAAGTTCTGTTTTATGTAAGACTGTATCACTAGTAAGTTTTCTACAAATGGATTCTGCCTATGTCATCCAGATTTCTTTAACCATATTCATATATACAAATTAGGTTTTCTTTATCCTTACCCGTTTTGTTGTCAAAAAATTTGATGTGTCTATCTTCATGTGCTGTAATAGTTACAGGAAGTGTGGGATGACTTACTACCTTGTTAATATGATTATTTGATTGTACACCTGAAAATAAAATTAAAGAATATTCATCTGCCTTGAAGAAAATGTTAAATTTAAAATGACAGGATTTTAACATTACACTTTACATTACCACATTATTTAACATTATGTAAATAGTATCTTGGGACCAACGGATTTCCTAAGAAATAAAGATTCTTGCTTCACAGGATGGGGCAAAGTGAGGAAAAGTCTAGCCAAAGTACTGTAAGGTTAAAGCTTACAAGTAGTTTACACCCATGAAAGATTATTGAGAGATAAAACCCAGCAAGTACTGCAGGGCAGCACTAGCCAAGTAGAAACAGACTGTAGCACGAGTAATCTACGTTTAGCACTCAGCTCTTACACCTCCGCATCAACATGTATTTCGTTTGCGGGGGAGGAAAACCCCAGAGGCACAGAGTGGTTTGGGTTGGAAGTGACACCTTCTACTAGACCAGAGAATCCAAGTAACTGAAGTCAACCTAACCCTCTTAGATTCTGCCACATACATTTGTGACTTCAACTTAAGCAATGAATGGTTTAAAATCTCTTTAGAAATTGACAGGATACTCTTTAAAAAAAACTATCTTGGTATCTTAATTTCTGTGCTTAATTTTTCTCGAATCCATGTGAAAGCCTCTTTTCAAAGGTATTTCTCCAAATTGTGATGCTCTTTCTCTCTTGAATGTCAGGCTTTGCAGAAGATAGCTATAAGATAGCTTTTACACAGATTTGTAACCTGTGTTGAAGTCTGTAAGTTTAATTATTAAAGTGAACTATACTCCTCAAAGGGGAGAAGCAGATTCTCCCCTTACATTATTCATTTAGATCACATTTTATAGAAAGGAATGATCACAAACTGGAGGTTTTTTCTTGCAAAACACTTTAGGAGGTTCACAAAAAGAAGTCTTCTCCATACACAGTTTCATCAGATATGTGCACTCAATTCTTGATGAGCTACCTCTCTTCTAAAACTTAATTTGCAACAACAGGATTTATACAAACTTCTACCAGAAAGTGTGTTTAATCTCAGCCTGTGCAGAATTTGACACTGAATTAAATAATCTGTTTAATTCACCTACTTGTCTTGACATCCTCCATGTCAAGCCTATATAATGAAAACTGTGGTTTAATATACAAATCTGAAAACTGAATCTTAAGAAATCTTAGAGAACAGTAATTGTTGCTTTCACTACCTCTAACTACTTTCAAATTCTGCTAATAGAGTAATAAAATCGCTTGGGTGGAAGGGACCTTTAACATCATCTAGTTACAATCCCTCCTGCCACAGGCAGGCCACCATCCGCTAAACCAGATTGTTTAAAGCCACATTCAATCTGGCCTACAACATTTCCCAGGGATGGAGCATCCTAAATTTCTCTCAGCGAGCTGTGTCAGTGTCTCACCACTCTCACAGTAAAGAACTTTTTCCTAATACCCAATCTAAATCTACTCTCTTTCAGTTTGATGCCATTCCCCTTTGTCTTGTTACCACATTTCCTTATACAAACAAGTTCCTCTCCAAATTTCCTGTAGGCTCCTTTAGGTACTCAAAGATAATATCTCCCAAGAACCTTCTCTAGACTGAACAACCCCAACCCTTTCAGCCTGTCTTCACAGCAGAGATGCTCCAGCTCTGGGATCATCTTCATGGCCTTGCTCTGGACTCAGTCCAACAGGTCTATGTCCTTCTTATGCTGGAGCTCCAGAGATGAATGCAGCACTCCAGCCAGGGTTTCACAAAAGCAGAATAGAGGGGTTAAAACACCTTTCCATAGTGTTTGTTCTAAGCCTCTAACCATCTTTCAAACTGAATGATGCGGTAGAGGAGTAAAACTTTATTTACTACACCATACAATGAGGTACCATAATAATACAACAGGTACCTCATTCAAGATGGGTATTTATTACAGAAAAGCTCTACTTACCAGATTCTACTTGTGAAGAAAACATTACCACTGACTGGGATGTTTCTAAATCATAAATGACTGTGCTGCCAGCGTTAAAAGATGCCACCATATGAGCAGGGTCACAACCTATAAAGTCGACTGATGTGGGTATTCCATGCTCTACAAAGAGTAAAAAATATCTTTAGAAAGAACTAAACACTTTAAAAATTCCTGACAGTTTAAACATTTAAGGTCATACTTAAAGAAGATAATTGCTCTTTTCTTTAAAGTAATGCTACAGCACCATAATTATTTTATTAAAAGTTATACTTTTAGCTCTGTTACCTAGTTTGGATAAATGGAGATAATGAGCCTGGATGCATCAACAGGTACCTCATAACAGATTTTCAAAATCACTGCAAAAAGTTACCTTTCTCTCCATTGTAAGTGCAAATACAGGGATTTTTTTCCGGTGGGTTCCATAACCTAATAGTGCCATCTGCTGAACAAGAGAGTAAGTGATTCTTTACACCACTGTAAGCAAGACCCCAGACTGCATCTGTGTGAGCAATTAATGTGCCAGCTAGAACGTTTGGCTCTGGAAAAGAAAAATTCAGAAAGGAAACCTTTTTAGTGAAAAAGCATTAAGTATTTCTTGTACCTCAACATAAATTAAAATTCCATATAAACCATGCTCCCCCTACCCTTTCCATTTAAGCAACAGCTAGAATATTACACAAGTCATTTTGCACAACCACTGCTATTTTTCTCAAAAAAACCAGCCAATTAACCAGGAAAACAGACAAGCTCAAACAAAAAAAAAAACTTACCAAACTAAACCAGCCAAGGGAAAAAACTCCACAAACAACTCAAACAACTACATCCCTTTTCCCAGAATTATACATTCTTGTTACCACCTCCTCTCTTATTTCTCCTTCCAAATTCAACATCTTAAATGCTTGATCACAGCCCTTCATTTTCACAAGATGCAGAAAATCAGCTTTCCACTTTAACACTGGATGCTTACTTCATGCAGCTTTTATTCAGCATACTCTGCTGACACATAGGTATGGTCTAAAACTCCCAGGCACACTAATAATAAAAACAGGACCAATTTTTCCTGTGGAGCTGGGAATCTTACTTTCATCTCCCTGATACTTTATAGTTGCCTTTTATAGAAGGCTTTTTAATCAATGCAGAGTTTTCCAAGCAGTTATCAGCTATTTAATTTTAGAGACATCTAAAATTAAAGCTGTCTAAAGTTAGGGACCTGAAATGCAAGTCAGAAACATGGAACAAAGAATCTGAGCACACTTGTGTAAGTTTTCTGGCAAATTTCCATCAGAAGAAATGAATAATCATTAAGAAGTTGTAATTCTGATACAAAATTTTTTGCTTCTCAAAAATGTAAGTTATGACTTTTTTTTCTTTACTGCATAAATCTTAGGAATTGTTACGTCTCCCTATTACTGTTCTAAACAAAGTACATCATCAGTGCAAGCAGGAAAAAATAACTAATGTTTGCTACACATAAGTAGTTGAAAACATACAGCGTAGCTGAGAAATGGCAGTACTACTTCACAAAAGCTCTAGAAAATAGACTAACATCAAGTGGGAAAATAATGTTCATGGTGATGGTCAGAAGTTGTTTATCTTTTAAAAGGTACTTACCATAGGTATCATATGGATCCACACTAGGGCTAGGCATGTTCCACCACTGGATGGTTGCATCAATACCACCACTGAAACACTGTTCTCCATTGGAACTAATTGCCAATGACAATACCGGTCCACTATTGAGAGACAGAGAAAAAAGCTGATTGGTAACTGCCTACAGGACAGAATATATTGTTATGAATGACAATGTATTTATCAATAATGTCAAACACTCACATGTGGGCCCTAAATGTGTAGATGGGTTCTACATCTAAAGAGGCACTCCTGAAAGAAAAAGAAGAGCAATTATACCACATTAAATCTCTACAGAAAACCTTGAGAATATAAGAGTTTAATCAATTTCAAAGGCATTTAAAACACAACTGATGTTTTATAAAACCCATATACTTGCTTTTTGGCAGGAACCGTTTTCTGCAAATTCCAAAGTTTTAGAGTATGGTCCTCAGAGGCTGTAACCAGCACAGGCTCTACAGGATGAAAAGCTAATGCTCGCACTCCATCAAAATGACTGCGTAGCGTATACTTAGGGTTCCATGTCTTTCGGAAGGCATCTTTATTAGCTGGCAACTTAAAAAGAGAAAACGAAAAGAGTAATTTTATCTTGGATTTTAAATATGGATTTTATACATATCCCCTCATGTTTTTGGAAAACAGCCTATGCTTGATTCAGCTAATATATATTCAACCTTAAGTATGTATTTATCTATTGATTTATCTATATACATCTACAACCCTATTGGGCCAGCCAGCCAGCCAATTTTTCTGTTGTAACAGTTTCCTTTGACCCAGGCTGGAATGATATATAATGTCAAACACACAGAAAAGACTTGATTTTCAGAACAGATTTTAATCCTTTTGTGCAATGACACTAACTCTTCTTCCCTGCAGAAAGAGAAATGTCTTATTATTATATTATATATCATGATAATCTGCACCCAAGGAAGAGATTATAGCCATCAAAAGCCTATTTATCACTTAAACACAATAAAAATGAGCTTGAAGTGCTTGGTGAGTGATCTTCCTCAGATGAGTAACTTGACTAAGGTTGACAAGAAACATACATAGTTCTTGAATACTTCTACAGGTGAAGTCATGTACATAGAAATAACTAATCAAAATTTCAAGAGACATTTGTCATGATTTTAAACATAACATTACGCATATATTTTTAAGTCTTTAATGAGTTTTAAACATATCTGTGAGACAATAACTTAGCTGCTTTGTGAAGCAATATATGCAAACTCTATATTTATACACTGTGAAAATCCAATTCATACTCTTAACCTGTAGACTGTTAGGCTAAAATACAATAATTCCAGCTGCATAATAGTATTTATATGTAACCCAGAAGAGTTACCAGAAAAATTCAAGCCCTTCTAGCGATTCCATGAGACTAATTTACAGCTTTGAATACAATTTATATTTATGCAGCAAGCAGACCCTTGAAACACTACATCCCATCCTAAGCCTCCATTACAAAGAAATAACGTATCTGGTTACTTCTCTTATCCCTTAACGGTAGTTTAGAAAACTGACTTGAATTAGATGAACAAAATAAGCAAACTAAGAATAAATGGAAACTAATTGTATCCTATGTTTTACACATATGGAAGCTAATTGTATCCTTCATCTTACACACTATCTATTTCAGCGTGTAATTGTTAAAGTATGTTTCTCTACTGTAGGCCAGAAGAGGTTGACATCTCAAACTAACTTCAGGAACAGTAACATGAAATTAAAATCTCCCATAGCTAATCAAATATTACTATCTTTCATCTGTCAGGACTGAAAATGACAGATACTCATATAATTCAGACAATAGTGTAGCATGTACTGTAATAACTATTTTTGGACCAAGTCTATAATCTGGATTGAATTATCACTACTCACTCAAACCAAATTCAAATCCAACCAACAAAGCAAAGAGGTTCAGTAAAATTTACTGATCTCAGTTACAGATGTGCAGACATTTGCTTTTCCATTATATTACTGTAAATTTCTGTCCTAAGTGCAAACTTTACCTAATTCAAATCAAGTCACAGAAACTTGTTATACCAGACAGGTAACCTGAATTTTTAGGGGTTTTTTAAATACCAACTAAGAAATAAATATACATATATTATAACAATACATTTGTTTTTACAAAGCATTTTGTTTGCAATATTCCTACTTCAGAGTACACTGAATACTGCAATATTTTTACTGAGATTAAAGTTATTTAGCACTATACTGCATATTATATACAAGCTTCAAATAGCCATCCTTAATTTTAGCACATGATATATCCCAGATTATGTAGAAGACTCAATTTTTTGGGTGCAATGTGCATCCACACAATATCTACCAACATCTACAATACCTAGTTGTGATGAAAAGTCATTCGAGATAATCAGAACTGGATACAGTGATCCTTATTTTACAAAATATTAAAAGAGTTTATTCTATCTTGTTTTCTTAAAAAGATTGTTGTAAGGGTAATTTTGTTTTCAGCAGTACAGAGAAATCTGCTAAAATGCAAGGTATGGAATTTACACAAATTATGAAAAGTAAGGTATGTTTCCTATCTTAAGCATAGCTTTGAAGTTTTAATTTTAAAAACAGACTGGAACGTCATGGTTCTTTTAGAAGACACCACATACACCTTACTAGAAATCTACTTATATATAAACCTATTTTTAAAAATTCTTTTCCCTATCCATGTTTCTAATGGATCATGGTATCTTAACGGCAAGAGAACAACTGATAATATGGTCCTTCCAATCTCTAAGAAAAAAAGTAAACCAGTAATGTATTTCCAAAAAAGAAACAACCAAAAAACCCAACCCTGCCTCAGAAAACACAGTCAAGAACTTGGAAAAGGGATCTGATAATTACAAAGGATAAATGTGGGATTATTTCGCAAAATAGGCCAGTAGAATAATGGAAAAGTAGTGAAATGGGACAGTATATATCAATCTTTGTGTGGATATTTATATACACACACACTGTCAAGATAATCAAAGTAACGAGAAGACAGACTAGTTCACTAGCTGGTCCTCCCTTTTTCCATGGACTTTAAAGGACTTTTCTAAAGACCAAGAAGGATCAAACACCCATTCATTCTGCCTCATAAAGCACAGGCAAACTGGACTGCAACTACACCTGAGCTAAACAAACTAAAAAAAAACAACTCTCTCCCACCAAAAAAAAAGTTACCGGGGAATGAAGATCCTCCTTGCCCCTGCAGTCAAGAGAATCCTAACACATTGTAAGGAGACATGCATTTCCCTATGTCAAACTAGTACTCCCCAACAGCAAACAAAAATTTTAGAGAACAATCATCAATAACTGCAGTCAGTGTCTTTTTATGTTTTAATGTTACATTTTTTCTTGATAATGTTTTAACTTATTGGAGATTTCCAAGTTTACATGCTCTGATAAAGGAAAGCTTTCCATTTTTCAGTCAGTCGTACTGTAGAAAAACACCACTCTCTAGTGCTATGGAATCAAATAATATACAAATGGGGGCATTTGATTTGGCAACATTATTCCCTCAGCATGCAAACAACTACATGCACTGAGGTCAATATAAGTAACTAGATAACAAAAAAGACATGATTTGAGATGACTACCAGAGATGACTAGTCTTGGAGATGATCTGTGAATTTATTCAAACATACAGAAATCTTTTGAGTTATAGTTGAAATTCCTAGGATTCATACTTAACCCCCATCCTGTATTCATATCTTCTCCTTTTCAAAATACAACACTCATCAAAGAGTGATGCATGAAAGCTAATGAAAGCCTGTTGTGGCTTTATTTATTAATGCACTCTAATGGCTCACAAAAGTTATTTGAAGAGCATGGATCTATTGGGAGCAAATGCATTAAGTGTTCTGGTTTGAGGTTTTTTCATTGTTCTTGCTTTACTTACACATAAACTTACATACTTATCACAACTCCTTGCCTGAAGATACATTGGAAAAGGAGGTGACTTCACCTAAGCTTACAAGGGCATTAGACTACGATGCCCTACAAGTACTGTATTACAGGTCCAAGATATGGTCTTACTGTGCTGCAAATCCATGGCTATGAGGGAACAACTTCAGCAATTAAAAACTATATTGGAATTTTTAACCTAAAGAAACATCGTGATGAAAAACAAACCTATTGCATCTGAATTTCAGTCTCTTCAAAATCATGACAGGACAGTGTCATCTTAAATATATAAAAAAAAATCGTTGCCATCTGAGTTATTTTATACCTGTTTTTCTCTGACACACAGAGTCAGAAGCCACTGTGAATTTTTCAGCTATGCTTTAGAAGGAAGAAAATATCCTATGAGTACTGGGAAAGGAAGACTGGACAAGAAGCAGGGAAACTGAGTGACAATCATAGTCAATCACAACTCATCTCCAGTGAATTGTCTAGTAAGAAAAACTCCTGTATACACCAGATATTAGAGCCTGAGATAACCTCTTCCCACTCAGCTCTCAAACCAAGCTGAAATTAAAGAACCTCAGGGGTTTAAGGGTTTCAGTGAAAAAATTTTGAAAATTCAACTACATTGAAAAAGTAAGATCAACTTAATCTACAGGATGATTAACACCTTCTAACCTTTAACAAATGTGTGCTGCTACTGCATATTTATTATTAGCTCAGGCAGCACTTCATATTTGTGTATTCATCAGCTATTGTCTGCTTTAAGTTTCCCAAGAGCAAAGGTAACCTCTATTCTACATCACTCTTCGCACCACAAAAACTCTTTTGTCAGGTTTGTCACAAGTAGCACAGATTCCTATGTAACACTTTTGTTAGCTGGCATCAGTTATAATAACTGCAATGCTTTTGGATCTTAGTCTTGGCTTGCCACTAAATATACCTCCATCTCAGAATAAGCAAAATGGCTACACACTGTTTTATAAAGAATTTGTAGTTCACAAAAGACAGCAATATACTACAAAGTTGCAATCTGCAGTCAAGCCAATACAAGACTTTTTAAATACAATACTTCATGCAAAACTTACCTGAACACTTCCCTAACCAGCCATCCTATGTTACCAGCCAATGAAAATTTTTTTTAACACTACTGGTAGAAGCTTAATGTATATGGTCAAAGGAATGCCAGAAGACTCTGAATTATAATAAAAATACCTCCTAAAAGCTTACATCTGAAATATGTAATTACTATATATACAGTGTATGCTGTTAACCCTACTTACTCATCAAAAGGACAGCAAATAACTAAGTTAATATCAATATTTGTGTTTCATGCCGTGCCTACTCAACACTTCATTTCAATGTGTAACTGTCATTTTGGTCATGTTAAGACATTAATATGTATTTTATGTCATAATACATTCCCCCTCCCAGTGACAAAATCTGTATTCAATTATTGATGTAGAAAAAACCCAAGTCATCTCACTTAATTCTGGTAACCCAAATTACTTAGCTTATTCGCAAGGTGCTCTTCCATTCCAAGTAACAGCTTTTACTAAAGAAGTGCATCACTAATGTTCAGCGTTGAGGAGAGGGAACCCAACTACTATTGGTTAAACTGTATAAAGAATTTTAAAATAAAATTGCACTTACATCATAACTATAGTCTGCATCATTTGTTACTGTCAAGTCTGCAAGGTCTCCAAGGCCCAGTACACTTAACAACACATCATCAGAACCCATAATAAATGACTTGCCTCCTCCAGGTGGAAACGTTATTGGCTCAGCTACAAAGAACAAAACAGTTTCTTTAAGTCTCAATAGAGTAATTCAAACTGATAAAAAGCTGCATTATTCATCACTTAACAGCAAAGCAGAGCTTAAAATTGAACTTGTATGCACTACATACAGCCCCAACTAAAAAAAAAAAATCAAGAGCATGAAGACACACACGCATGTGCAAACACACACACATTATATACACAACTCTTGTATCATGCTTCATCATTTGATTTCAACTTACTTTTACAGAGGTGTTGATACTGAAAAGTGACTTGAATAACACTACTTTACACTGCAATACCAAATGTACATCCCAGGTTTCCAAATTCTCAGCTGAGTTTTTCATTCAGTATACCATGCTTCCTGCCTTCTATCCACTTGCAAATGTGTGTTTGTTTTTTATACTAGTCAAATATTTCTACTTGTACGCTGAATATTTTTGAATCACTCAAGCAAAAGACTCCTGCAAAAAAATCTCTTCCGCTCTGAGTTTTCTCAGACAACTGAAAAAATGAAAACATCTATTATTTATTCATTTCCTCTCTTAGTTTCTCAGCATAACTTTTGATTCTAATTTTAAAGTACACTCAACTGATATTCATTTGTCTAGCTATGCCTTCCTCAAATTAAAATTTAACATTTCTGTTAATTATCATTTAGAATGAATAAAAGTTATATATAGCTATTCACTATAAATTCACATCTGAATAATAAAGTTTAAAATATTCACCCATATTTTTTACCCTCTTCAATGATTCTGTAAATCTCCCTCAACCCACAAATACCTACTTAGCAACAAGGAGTAGGAATGAAGGCTTAAACATTGCAATGCTTCAGCACATTTTAGAAGCCAATTTTACTTCCCAGTTTTCTGGGAAATAGTTTTCTCAGAAATAGCAACACTTGTTAAGTAGTGTATGTAAAATTAAGGTCTGTGTGAACTTTAGCTAAGTATAAGCATCTGCAAAATATGTTAAATTATACTTGACATCCTGAAAAATTAAACTTGCTTGACTTTTGAATTTTACTGATCTGGCAGAGAGAGTTATGGACTCACTTGGATGCCACTCCTTTTTTCTTATCCTCCTAGAAAACCCTTCAATCTCAGAGTAAAGAGTTTCCAGTTTCCTGGGTGTTTTGTCTTCTAGAAGTAGTTCCAAGAGGACTAATAATTAACACATACCTGTTTAAAACACATATCTCCATTATTCTGTACGGCCACTATCTGAACAGTAACCTAGCTCTGATCCACTCCCACGGAACAAAAGTAACTGAAACCAGGTGTAAAGTTATAAATGTCTGGCACCAGTGCTAGGGCTAGGCAAAAAGGAGCCAGTCTAGCTAGATCAAAATACATCACTTCTCAAGTGTAAAACAGCCTTTAATGCTTCAGAACTATCGCACTATTAAGAAATGTAACCTCATTAGCATAGTCAATACAACCGTTTCTGAGAATCTAAGAACATAATCTAAGAATACACACTGTTGCTCCTACAATTGCATTAGAAGAGCAAACAATATTCTAATTATGCACAATCACCTTTTGTAAAAATATTCACAGTCTATACAAGTTTTACTCATAAGAATGCTACAAAAAAGCATATGCCTACAAAAAGACATAAAAAAAGACATATGCCTACAAAACACATATTTACTTTCCTGTTATCCCTATTTGATCTTTAGGACAGGCCCACAAGGTTTAGGTAGGCCCCGTAACTTATCATACTAGTTCTTTGTGAAACTAATGTCACCTGACCTTAACAGATAAACTTTCCTATGCTTTATAATAAAAATTAAGGACCACCACATCAAGAACCTATACTAAAAATTCATCAAGTTTTGTTTGCATGAGTAACTATCTCTTTGTTTAAAGCTTCAAAATTAATGCTACTCAAAATTCAGAAGAGTACTTCTCAATACTAAAGTTGCCCGTATGTATGTCCAGTGTGCTCTATAATTTGTTTGTGAATTTCATATTTTAAAGTGATGCATATTTGTGAAGTTTAAAAAATGACTGCAAACTGCTTTTGTAAAAAAAGAAAAGACAGAATAGCAACACAATGAAAAATGCATGATGTTACAGCTACTAAAAATAAAGATCCACATCTTCAGATACCAAAACAATGCACCAATAGATATATGCAAATGATAGTCAAATAAATTACTTTTTAATGCTTTCCATCTAGGAAAAAAATACAAATATTTTTTCTAACACACAATACAATACTATTCTCATAGTATAATATAAATGCTTAACTGAGTTTGCAATCAATAAATACAAAGTTAAAATGTGATAGTACAAGTTCTTTTGTAGGTGAAATTAGGTGAAGTAAACATTTAAATATAAAATCATATAATGAAATATTTGCTTAGCCAATCGTAACCAGCACTTCTTACCTTCAAGTTCTTGACATGATACATAATTAAGTCAAAATCATGAAATAATACTTGTACAAACTGAAACTGCTTTAATCTCTGATCAGATATGTATGCTCATATAGGCTGTTATTGTCTACTGTACAACAGGGACATCTTAACCTTGTTTCCCACAAAGTTAATATGTGGTACGTGAAAAGCAGCTGTTCATATCAAAGCAATTAGCTGTTACTGCTTTTTTTCTGTCAATCTGTAGATTGACACCCCTGCAATCTATAGATATTAAAACTGAAAAACAACCAGTGAAGAAAGTAATTCTTTCTACACTGGATGGAGAATCATGTAGACACCATTTCTGAAAGTAGCAGCATATTTTGAAATGGAAACTCCAGTTTCTCATGGCCAAAATTATCAAGTGTGATTATGGGACAACATCATATTTAACCAGGGAGTTCAGAGTGAAAAACAAACAAACAAAAAACAACAACAAAAACTCCAAACTGACAAAAAACCCTCACACCTTTCGAGGATGAAAGAGATACTCTAAACCAGTTAGAGCCAGTTCCTCCCTGAACCCCCTTCAAGAAAAAATTATCAACCACTATGTCAGAACTGCAATATTTTGAAGTGTGGCATAAAACTTCCACACAGTCACAAGAAAATTATGGTTTGATAAAATTCCTCAGCATAGGCTGGTGTATCCCAGGAAGAAAGCCTAAAGTTATCTGCAAAATCTTAGCTTTTAGAACACAGCTAAATAAATAATTGAGTAAAACCTGTATTTGTACTGCATGGTGCAAAATCTGTAATTTATGGTAATGAAGTATTTGGCCTTGTCACATACCTAGAAGGAATTCAAATGCAACATTGCCTGTTTATTTGCACCTTTGCACATACGGTACAGACAAAAACTCAAAAAGCCAACATAGCATTCAGGATAGAAATAAAAGAACTTACACTCTAATATTCAAATTTAAAACTATGCAGAAACCAAAATGAGCAGTTAAGATGACAGAGATATTATTACTCTTAATAAAGAGCAAGCTACACTGACAAGTTAAAACACGTGGACATGTTAAACACCATGAAAAATAAAAATATGAAAGTTTATTTTAACAATGTGAACATTCTTTACTTGAAGGCTAACACAGTGTTTGTGTTACAAGAACCAGGCAATAAAAGCTAGTCCCTATCAAATTCAAACCTAGCATGTATTTCCTCAAAAATATTTTGTTCAGTATTATTTTAGATGTAAGGCTTTTACCTGAGACAACACCTCTGTCTGTAACAAGGTTTGTGACTGTGTTCCTTTGCACAACATGTATGGCCTAAGAAAAACAGCCTAAGACAGACCTAGAAAATTGTAACTGTAGGGTCACATGGCCTTAATACCTAAACATGGCTAAAAGGCAACCTTAAGCATGTAAATACTAACCTAAAAACAACCTAAATATACATCTACAAGTTTTAGCAAGTGGATTTTCATCTGTAGATTTTTCAATTGCACTCCACAGGTAAATTTGATACTGCTTCATCTTGAAGATGGAAATAAAAACAAAGATGAAAAGGAAGGCAGTAAATAAGACGACTGTTGTAAAATGACAGTTTGGGAGAGCAACAAAAAGTCTCCTTGAAATGTGGTTTGGGATTGTTTTCTGCTTGTCTGTTGACAGGTATTTGTGAGGCCAAGGGTGAAAAAGAACAGGAGAACAAACCTATTCCTGGAATCTCTAGTAAAGCAAATTCTATTTCTGCTATAGCTGATACCATGCTGGGGCTTATGGGTCACAGATCATCCTAAAAGAGCCAAATCTGAGCACATGAGTATTTTGAATTAATATGTTCTAAGCAGGGGACAATTTACATAATGGTATTCTAATTTCAAAGCTAGTAACAGGAAAATCATTCCTTTAAAACAAAAAACTTAAAAGCCAAATAGAAGATTTTTTACTTTATATATAATAGCTTGCCACTAATTTTCATTGCCAAAGATAATCCCGAAACTTAAATAAACAGTGTCTTTGTAAATTTGTATATGTACACCAAGGGAATTTTATAAAAGAGAACATTAAATTTGAGGAAAAGAGACTAATTAGTCCCATAACTGAAATCACCACTTTTCATTTTAAAATCCAAACTGTGCATCAAATGTTAATACTCACCTTTTTTCCTCTCAATAAATAACAACCAATTTGTGAAAGCTTTGCTAATTGAGGGGGTGTCTCCAAACAGGGATTTAATAGTGAATAGTGTCAGAACACACTGCTGTACATGAAGATATTTAAAAAAATGTATGAAATAATGGTGAGTTATTAAAAGCCACAGAAACTCAAGCCATATTCTCATAAAACCATTTAGGAAGAATTGCAAGTAAAATAATAATGTGGCAATCTGCAACTGCATTCAGCTTTACAGAGGGGATAATAAATGTGTGCTTTCTAAAAGAAACCTCCTGAAATATAGTAAGTAGCTGAATTTTTTGTACCTTCCTCTGCTCTTGCACCTTCATGATCAGTCATTCTAGAAGAGGGTGACCTAGATTGATTAATGATTCCTGAAGGGATGTGGGGTATCTCATCATCGCCCAGATCAGCTATCATGTCGTGAAGTTTTGTCCTGTTGACTCCTGTAAATTAATGTCAGCAGCAAAAATTCATTTGATTGCTACCGCTTGACTTGACTGAAGTCTAAAAATCCATTAAATAAGAATAATTACTGATGGGACCTCCTTCAAATAAATAGTGCTTTGCTTTTGTTTAGTAATATTTTGGAAACCAAAAGTAGGAATTAATACACCAAATCTGAAAACTACATGCAAACAAATTTAATTCACTAAATCAAAGAATAACTCCTTTGTGTTCTGCAGATCTATTCTACAATTTCCTGTAGGAAAGAGAAAATACAGCCCTACTGGAAAGTCAAGCCAAATAGTAAAAGAACATCCACTATTAAACAAAAAACGTATGAATTAAACATTTTCTAATAATATTACACAATTTTAACTATACTGAACAATTTAACATTAAAAAACAGAGTGTCAACTAAAAATAAGTTTAAAAATTAGAACAAAAGTACAGACAACTCATAATGGGGGTGCAACGAACAATTAACTTTCCCTGCTTTGAATGGTATATGAAGTGTTTGTTATACACAGCAGTAAGAATGCTTCCACCACTGTATGAAACTGTAGATGTATATTAGATTAAAATTATTATAGAAGTAAGCTTCTAGAAACAAAGCATTCTGAATTATATGTACATTTAATTAGTATGTAGACATCAGCAAACAAAAAAGTATAATTTAAAATATCTTTGAATTACTAAATCCACTCCTGCTTTCACCTTCATAGTTTCTACACCCAAAAGTCAAGCTTCAATTATAAAGTGTATTTCAGTGAGAGAACCTCTTTAAAGAAAACAATCCATAACGATGAAGACATAACCAAATTTCAGCCAGTAAAAAAGCCCTTCCTGGGACTGCAAGCAGGGTTTAGTAAAGGAAGCACTAGTGAATAAGTTCTTATATTAGGTGACATCTCACATTTATTAAAGAGGAAACTGAAACTAAACCAAAGCCTTTATTGCCAAAAAAGTAAAATGTAAATACTATGATTACAAATGACTTCTCAAACTCAGAACCATTTTTCAAACAGTTGAACGCTAAAATACACTTTCATAAAGTATCTGATCATTTTAGATCTTACTGGTTCAAATCAATGTGTTCAAAAATAAGTGTCTATGAATAACAGAATTCTCTGAAGATAATGGAGAATTCCCTGCAGAGAGGGATGACAACACAAAGTATTTCTTGAAGAAGAATTACAGGAAGTATACCCCACATACCGCTAAAAGGATGCTATATATAACTATTCTCATTAATATTTGCAAAACATTCTCATCTTGCCAAGTAATAAAACTCCCTATATTTATGTTTTTTCTGCTTTCGGTATTTTTTTCTTTCCTTCACAGAATACTTAGTATTTTAGCTAAATATACAAAGACTGCTACCCAGAAGCAATGTGAGAATAAAACTGGCTTCCAAAAGGTTTCCTCACTAAAGAGATGACTTGAGCAGTTAAGTTTCATTTCACTCTCCTGTAGAAGAACGTCTAGAAACCTGTGATCCCAGCTGATGAAGTGAATGTAAAATAATAATGAGAAATCACTTTTGAACCAACACACTTTTTTCCTAACACGTACTATACTGAAAGGATTTAATTTTTGAAGTATAGTACTTAATATTGCAGCCAGCAGGTGAGACGTCACATAAGAAAAGTCACTCTTAAAATGGGCAGATCCCTACACCATACAGACTACAAAGCTCGTCTTTGTCTTTATTACAGTTGGCCATCAGCCAGGCACCTACAGTGACCAGGAGCAGATTTATTCTTGAAGACATTATAGAGCAATCAATGAAGTGACAGGATAAAAGTAATGACTGGGACCCTAAACTTTACTTTAACAAACCCTTTGCTTTCCACAAGAAAACACCATTTGTGTTCTCCACGTTGATATGCATGAACTGTTCAACACATTGATGCAAAATGCCATAAATGGCTTATAAACTCTTACTCTATCTGAACTGAAAGCACCTTCTCAAGGTACTTTGATGCCAAACATGAGCATGAGAAGTTTGTCTTGAAGCATACTCAGATGAAGCATACTCATACTAGATAACTAGAAGTAGCCCCTCTGCTCTGCTACCTTTAAGCAGCCATTCATTTAGTTTATCACTAATTAGGAGACTGATAGCCTTTTAGTGTTTATCAGTATGTTTGGGCAGTTCTTGTCCTTCAGGCATAACCTCAGAACAGGCCTCAATCATCATACAATACACAGAGAAGTTTACAAAGGAGCAGCTGCTGTTCCAAACAAGTTCTGTGCATTTCATGCTGAAAAATATGTCAATATTCAAGACTGTGCCACCACTACAGAAGGCTGCAAAAGTTTCTGCTTTCAAGTAAGTGCAAGTGTACCCTCATATAACTGTTCAAGTATTGTAAATGTTACAAGGAGATTTTGAAAGAAAAGAATGTGCCATCTCTGCATAAGCAACTATGTTCAAGGCACAAAACGGGATGACCCTTTTACCCTCAACAAAAAAATTTTGATAAACCTGGTATGAACAGAAGCAAAAGTTACAGTACCATCTCAGTGTATTGTCCTTCAGAGATCAACAGTGAAATAGATAACTGAACATTCAGTGATGAGAAGTTTTAGCCTGAGAAGCTTAAGCAGAGTTCTATTAGGTCCAAGATGTATTAGTCCAAAGTCTGAATGTAACACAGAGATACTTGTATGTCAAGAACATGTGATGGGAATGCAGAAGTTAAAAATCAGATCTCTTTTCAGTCCTATCAATTATTATACTATTTCCAGAAATCAAGGGTAGGAAAGTGAATGGAACAAATACTGTTTTGTAAGTACAGAACAATTAAACTGAGGGAAAAGAGCAAGAAATTTAAAAAATACAAAAAGAAAAGGAAAAACAGTAAAAGTACCTTAATTTTAACAGTGATATAGACACATATATATATACAAGATGTGAAAACTTTCAAACTGAGAATACATTATGCTGATCTGATAGAATGAAATGAGCTACATAACAGCTCCACTTGTGCAAAGGTGACAGGCTGTATCTGAAAAACAGCCATCCCCTGACTTACCTGCCAAAATTGATCTTAGCAAATTCGGGCAAGAAAGAGGCCTTAAATTCAGTATATTACTGAAAAGAGAAGCCTGCTTTTGTAGAAATCAAACCTAACTCCTTATCTATGTATCACAGTAAGTCCTGGATAAGTGTGGTTTGTTTCTCTGCTTCTGGGGTTTTTTAACACAAGAACTCTTCAAGAAACAGATTTTGCATTATTTTACAGCTGACATTAAAGAGAAAATTGAAGTTGTGAGGGGGTGAATTTTTGTTATTGTTTTGGTGGGGTATTTTTGAAGATCCTTTCATAAAGAGGTAGTAGTTCAGCATAACACGGTGGCTACCTGGACAGACACCCTCTTTCTTCCCAGTCAACAAGAATATTACTTCACGAAAATGTATGCACTGACAGAAGATGACCTTAAGATACCCACCCAAAAGGAAACAGGGATACTCACTAGAGAAGCATCCTTATAGTATCAGATCTACTTCTGTTCACTTATTTATGTGTACATGTAGAATGAAAGTTTCAATACCTGAGGCCAGGGCTGTGTCTGCCTGGTTATGTTACAGTGCAAATACAGATTATGACAGTTTCAGATGCATATCCAACAAAAGAACCCATCAGAATGTCGGTCTTATTATGCTGTCTTCAAAGTATTGCGAAAGTTGACATTTAATGCACATTTGTTTGATGTTTATGATGATAAATACTACCATACAGATAAGCTCTGATGGTACTCAAAACAAATTCTGAAATCAAAACAACAAAGAGATATGTATTCAGGATGAAGACCCCAAATGATCAGACATGAGTGGCACGAATAAAAAGGTCCTTCAACATTATTTTCAGTTTCAGAATGTTAAAAAGCTGAGAAAAAAAAGTCTACAAAATCATATTTAAATGAATTTGCCCAACCTTGAATGCATACTTTTACTCTGTGTATGGAGTTGTCTCATCCAATTAGCTCAGTGATGTAGAGGCTAATTTTTTTTCCGAAACTATCATGACTATGACAAGCAAAGAATCTCACAAACCATCTTGTAAGACTATATGTGTTCAGGGTTTCCCAAAGGAGAATTCAAACTCAAAATGCTAAGCAATGATTATTGTTTATGTGTGACTTATGTCACTTCTCAGCACCGTCACACGCAGTTGTCTCCTAAATACTGCCTTCTGTGAACTAAAGATTTCAAAATTCCTTTAGATGAAGAAATCTTTGTTACTTTGCAGACACTGTAGTTCAAACTGTCTAAAATGTAAAGAATTTAGTAAGAAAATTTCAAGTAAAATAAGTCCCTTTTGGTATTAAAAATAAATTTCTAATCCTACCAAATATGTAATGCAAATTTGATATAATTTTAATACTGATTTACATGTTAAATGCTGATACACATTGGCATGCAGATGATTACTGTAGACTCTCATTAAAGCAAAGACTAAAAATCTTTGCTTTGTCAAAGCTTTTATGTTTATGTGTGTGTACAAGTCATGCAAAAATGCTGAAAAAAACAACCAACATGAACTAACTGACCAGTAACTGTTAAATTCAAATCTTAATAATTACAGAAGTCATCAGGAAGTGTTACATTTTAATTATCATGTAATTTAGTTAGTATATACCCATACAATTTTTCAAATTGAGGAAAAATATTTTTTACTAGTTATCTCCAGAAATTGCTAAAAATTACTTCCAAATAAAAGCATAGCAACCATGGGAGCTTCTCTAAAGCAACACAGAATGCCATCCAGAAGGACCTGGACAAGCTCCAGGAGTGTGCCCATGGGAACCTCCTGAGGCTTAACAAGACTGAGTGCTGGTGCTACACCTGGGTCAGGGCAACCCCCAGTACCAGCACAGGCTGGGGATGGACAGACCAGAGCAGCCCTGCCCAGAAGGACTTGGGGCTGCTGTGGGTAGAGGCTGGACATGAGCCAGCCATGGGCACTCCCAGCCCAGAGAGCCAAACGTGTCCTGGGCTGCATCCAAAGCAGCGTGGGCAGCAGGGCCAGGGAGGGGATTCTGCCCCTCTGCTCTGCTCTGCTGAGAGCCACCTGCAGGGCTGCATCAGCTCTGGGAGGCCAGCACAGGAAGGACATGGAGCTGTGAGTCCGGACATATGGAATGTATTTAAACTAAAAGGGTAGGTTTAGACTGGATATTAGGAAGAAATTCTTTACTATAAGAGTAATGAATTAATGGAACAGGTGTCCAGAGAAGCTGTGGGTGCTCCATCCCTGAAGTGTGCAAGGACAGCTTGGATGGGGGGGGGGGGGGGGGGGGGGGCCTGAGCAACCTGGTCTGGTGGTTATCCCCACCCATGGCAGTGGGGTTGGAACTAGATGATCTTCAGTGTCCCTCCAAAGCCAAACCATTCTGTGATGACAGATTTAATACTACTTTATGCACTAAAAACTTTATAGTTATAATTGATAACATAATTTCCAAAAGCATTTTTATCACGTAGTTCAACCCTGAATTTTTGTTTAAACTACATAGTTAAAATAGGTCAACTGGTCAGAAGACTCAGGGAGTAAAGGGATATCAAATAAAATCTTGGTAAATGTACAGAAAAGTGAAGAGCATTATAAAATGAAGATTATCTCCTAAATAAAGCCACCAAAAGGTTTTACAGGCATTTCCTAATTCTCTATGCCTGGGGCTGTAAAACTGATTACAAGCCCATAAATAGCAACTGATTCAAGCTCATATTAAAATAAAGCAGAAAAACCAAAAAGTAAATAAAAAACCCGACCCCAAAAAAAGCCCAGTAATCACCAGTCCCACAACAGTATCACAATATTATACTTTAAGAAACAAATGAAGTTTTAATCATTCAGAAAACGTAAGAGTAGGATTGTCCTCAAAATGCAAATTGTTCATTATTTTTACACTAACATTTCTATGCATTTAGTTTTCTTAACATCTTTAACCCTGAATTTTTGTCTTTTCAACATTTCTCATTTATGAAATGACTGTCAAAAGTTTTGACACATTCACATTCAGCAGGTAGAAAGTTAAAGTTGGTTGCCCCCATTACAGAAAATGATGCTTAATGGAAAAAAAAAAAAACAAACAACAAAACAACAAACAGAACTCATGATAAAAAATGTCTTCTATTTAAATAGGTAAAAAAGTGTTGCATTACAAGATTCAGAATCTGCACTTACTCTTTACCCCTTTCTTCCCCTTTCGTTCCTTCTTGTACTGTTCCTTCAGTTTACTTATTAGTCCCTGGTCTACATCCCAAACCTCAGCAGTTGGGGACAGGTCATCTTTGTCTACATGCAGCATATTATTAAAAGAAAACAAATCAGCAATTGGCAATGCAAGCTGTTGGTGATTTACTGTCATAGCTGTATAAGAGCATTAATAAAAGTTATTAATAAATCTTTATTTTAAAGGTGCAGTCTCCGTTTTAAGTTTATAAAAGACCAACTTTCATTTCATACAGTTTTCCAAGGCACTGTATATTATCAGTTACATATTTGAAAATTGTATGTTAATTTGTTACCAAGAAGCAAACAAATTAAACTTCATAAGTAACTGTTTATGTTAGATACTTCAAAATACACAAAAAATCATTGGTATTCAGAAACAATTACTGCATCTTTAGAAAGACAGTGTTAAGAAATTATTCAGCCAGTGTTGAATAAGCAAATAAAAGCATTCATGCTATATCTCTCATGAAAATGCAAGCTGAGTAAGTCAGTGCCAGTTTATTCATGAAGACCACCATGCATCCTTTCGCATTCATTCTACATGCACAAGAAAGAAATCTTGCTCCTACATATAACCAGAGAAACAAATCTATAAATACAGTTTTTCACATAAAGATGAAGAAAAGTAATTTGCACTGGTGGACATCCCACTGCATTCCAGAAATTAAATCATAATTAGCAGAAATATAACATTCCACAGTAGTTTCAGAAGCATATATTTTTCTTTTTGACAAATATTGCAGAGTTAATTACTCTTTATGAAAAGTCAGGTCTCCACTTTTCTAGACTATCCATCTCAATCATTTCTGGAAACTTAGAATTACTAAAAAGATAAACCTGTTTCTATGACAAGCCAAACATAATATCTGCAGAAGCACTTTTGCTAGTAGACAACCAGGCAGCAACCAATCTTGGTTTGTGGGCCAGTTCAGCTTTATACTCACAAATTCTTTAGGCATAAAATCACAAGACTTAGTTCCTCAGTTCCCAACTTCCAATCATATTTACAATATGATTGTACCCATTTTTGAAGATATAACCATTATAATCATGAAAGTACAAACGAGGAGTCATACACAGCAGAAACAAAGTAACATGCATTTAGAATAAAAACAATAGGAGTTATTCCAAGTACATAATTCATGACAAAACATGACAACGAATAAGCAGACAGATACCCTAGAATACTGATACATCTACCATCATTCAATAACAATCTTGATCAAAGAGGTGGAATACAGAGATGGCAAGGGCAGTGAAACATGAAATGGGAGCATAATGGCAGAGTCCCCTGAGATTGTCCACAAAGAACTGTGGTGATGAGAAAGAACAATGATATCCTACACCAAACTACAGCTACATCTACCAAACTGCAAACACAAAGACCTCAGTCTTTCTGATCACTGGGCCTAAGCATTGACAGAGAGGAAGAGTGATTACTCAGAAAACACAAGAAGCACAGAAAGATAAGTCATGCCCAATCAAAGAGGAAAAAAATCAAAACCACTAAAATGCAATTAAAAGAAAATTCAATTAAAATATAATTAAAACTAATTAATACAATTCTAAAGCACCATATTGCAGACAAGGATTAGGGAATTAAACTCAACCAGAAGATGACCACATCTAACATCAATGTAATGCTATTATAAAAAAATTCATTTTGGTACATTTTTAAAAGTGCAGTGTATTAAACCAGGACAGTTCAGATAATGACAAAATTGAAGTAACATGTTCAGTCTGTCTACTACACTGGAAGTTTAGAAAATGTCTGTAGTGTGAAAAACAAATAGGGCATTGAACATCAAGACAAAGAATTTGAAGGAACTGGGCTCATTCAGTCAATAGAAAACAGGAAAAGCACAAGCCTGCAAATATAAATATTCAAAACCAACACCGTTGGCTGCAAAAATGTAGGCTGTAAATAGAAAACTGGATAAAACATAAACTTGGAATATGTGGGTAGGCTGTGAAATGAATTTCAAACAAGATTTTCAGGAAAACCCAGCAGTGTTTTCTCCAGCATGCCTAGATATAATAGGCTATTTCAGAACAGAGCCATGTAACTAGAAGACCTCTGAAATTGCCCCCAAGCGTGACCTTCTTTGCCTTAAACTGATACAGGACAGCACAGAGGACCCAGGATGTCCACTGACCTGTATAAGTGAGTGGAGAAATGCTGGCTTTAAATTTTTCTATTTTTTAAAAGTTTTTTGAAGATGGCCCAGGAGACTGTGAATTTCAGTTACACACTGCCACCCAGAATTCTGGGCACAGTCATTCTCTGACTTATGGTCCATCTGTAAAGAGAACTTTTGTGTTTCATGGGGAAGAGAAATCCAGTGATGAGCATATGAAACCATAAGCAGAATAAAGAGACTACATAATAAGTGACATCTGCAATATGTAGCGCAATATATAACAGTATGTATATATTGATGTTTGCTTAAGCAAACTGAAGTCATAAATGCATTTTTTCTTGTCACAAGGAATTTACTTTTTTTTAAATCTAAAACTCTACTTTTTTTTTTTAGTATGTCACATCACTTTGACTCTTCTTTTAACACTGCTTGACCTTGCTCATCTTTCACGATTTTGAAGATAAGCTGTTCCTAAGTAAAACATGTTGCATGACAGGACACTTTAAATCACAATGTTTGGAATTAATTTAACACTCAAAGCATGTTAACTAAGGCACTTACATAAAATATAATGTGTCCATAAAAAACCATAATACAGCAGGAAAGAAATGCAATCCAAACTTCAAAACATTCAGTGACAGGTTTCAAGAAGTCATCAACAGCAAAAATGTAACTATCAAATTTGGGACTGAAATACTTTAGGATATTGAAAGTAGGACATACAAATAATACTCTGCAATTAAGTACTCTAAATATTACTGAAGCAAAACTAGGCAATCTAGAGCCTAAACATCAGATGTTCTCCAGAATGGAAATAAAAGCATTATATCTAATTAGAGAAGTAAATATTAACTTTTTTTTTCTAGAATGCTTAAATGTTTGCAAAGGAAAGAAGTGATAGAAGGAGGCTAATGACAGGAAAACAAAAACAGGAAGAAAGAAATAACTATGAAAACAAAACAGAGCAACTATTACATTATGAAGTAAAATTTAGATTTTAATGGAAATATTTAAGTTCACAATTGATGGAATTGTTTAGGAAGTAATAGTACATATTCATTTAAATTAAGTTTTGCCTCAACATAAATAACTAACTGGATTGATCTGGATATTTGAAGTAACAGGTTTCATAGAGTTTAAAATAACATGACAGGATAAAATAAATTGGTTTAAGCCATGTATTATTTTATTTTAGAAAGCATTTAAGTGGGACAGTATTTAATATGTTATTTGTGATAGTTAACAAAGAAGTCTTGTCATATTTACACTGATCTTTAAAAAGTAACACAATCCCATGATCTGATGGACTGTATCCTTAAATGCCCATTTAAGGAAAGAATATCTGTACTAAAATCAGTGACATACTGTGAAAAAAATATTGCTACTACAACTGTAGGCATGTCTTTGACTGAATAGTAAGTTACAAAATATACAAAAAACTTATGAAAATTGTCTTCATACATCAAAACTGAGAACATACTTTGAAAGATGAAACTAACTTTATGTTTTATTTCCTCCTTCCCATTTTCAGATATGTTTTTTGGTAGCAATGGGATTGCTGCAGTTAAATCAGCTGTCACAAGTGCATACAAACTCCTAAAGTGCTCTGCCTCATTTTGTTATGGGTTCATTTAAAATGTTATAAAAAACATTCAAACAGCTCTATGAAAAGTGTGGGTGTGTCAATCTGATTTTTAAGAGACCTTAGAATTTGGTAACTACTTGAGAAAATGACAGACATAGAACACACAGGAAAGTAATCCTCAGAAACAACAACTTGGAATTTCAATGGACAAGCTAGTTCAACACAGTAGGTTTCAGCAGTCTGCCATGGATAAATCTTTGACTGCAAGAATTATAGTATCAAACTATCTTGCCTTTTATATACTATAGTAATACTGATACTAGAACCACAATTTTCCACATCACTATGTATTTGAAGAAATGTTGCAAGCAAAGTCAAAAACTTTTGCTTCAGGTGCTACGAGACATCTTTTACCAAGAGATCTGCCTGTGTGCCTAAATGAAAATACCATCAAGAAACTGCTCAAATAACATCAACTTCAAAAGGGAAGAGCAAGCAATTAAAATGATACCATAAATAGACATTTATTACCAAAACTAAAGGTAACAGCTTCTTCAGCTTCATCTTCCAACTAGAAATAAGACTGAGTTTTAAAAATAAAGGTCACTAATCTTTGACACTAGTTTTTAGGAAAGAATGGTTTCAAATCCTTGCTACCTTCAAAATCAAGACTGTATTATTTTCCTGGAAGATTGGCCATTACTTAAGTTTTGTAAATCTTTATATTTTCTTGGCTCACTGGGATGTATATTAAAGTATGACTTCATTGTCACATAAACTGCTCAAACAACATGACCTAATGGCAGTTTGGGGCTTACAATTTAAGACTTACAGTATGTAAGTACAAAATCGGTTGTATCATAGTTCAGAAATTAAGATAGCCGGTTTCCCATTTAAAGGCAGATACCCATTACTTGAATCACTATTTTTTCCTTATACAAATTTTCTCCCTTCAATCTCCTCTTTTGAAATATGTAGATTGCAGAAATTACTGACTTAACATATTTTGTTTCACATCAAGTCACTAATAAAAGGTTGGGCTATTAGAAATGGTTTTGGTTTTTTTTTTTTTTTATTTTGCTAATACAAACCATATTAGCAACAATATCTAAAAATCTCAGAAAAATAAAACAACTAATTGTCCATTTTTCAAGTACACCCAAGAATTAATTTAACTTAGGTACAAAAAGTCTGAAGGTCCTGATAAGGAGCAAATTAAAAAAAAAAAAAAGAAAACTGTATTTGAAAGCAAATTTAATCTAGGTATAAAAACATTCAGAATCCTAGCCTTTCCTATATAACAAAGAAAATATTCTTCTCTTAGTTTTGAAATCAGAAACAAAACCTGAAAGAAATGTAACTACAATTGTACTTGCACCTACAACAACATATATACGTACATATATATATATGAAAGTTTCACCATACAATATATCATTTTCTAAGCATCAATGTTTTATCACCACATTCATCCACACATCCACACCATTTTAGTATTACAAAACCCTTAAGAAGTATCATGAACAAGTTTTACTTTATTTTTAAATGCTTTTATTAGTGTCTTACCCCACTCTGTTCCATCTCCTGAACTTCGAGCTTCTCCAGCTCCCTCACCATCTTCAGCTGTCACTAAGAAGTCAAATTCTTTCAAAGCTTCTTCAGTATCAGGGTCATCTGTAAGGTCAGCAGCTAAACCTTCATTACCAATCTGCAAAAAGATAAATATTTTCTTGCATTTGAATCATAAAAAGATTTTCTAGTCATTTAGTTTACAAGATATATTGGCTATTCTCACTGAGTAATTTGTTGCAGGGGAAAATATTTTTCAATTTAAAATGCAGAAGAAACTCTGATCTCAGTTGGCTTATCAAAACAAAAAAGAGAGGAGTGCAGTCTGCTGAACATTAGGAAATAAAAAGAACACTGACACTAGCTTTAGCAACAAAAATCCCATGCACCTCAGCCTTCACTTCTTTATTTAAGGTAAGAATTAGAAAACTTTGTTAATTTTCTTGCCCTATCAATAGCTCTGCAGAGAGAGCTTACAAACTATGCTTTCTACTGGTCCAGAAGCCTTTCCTTCTTTCTGCTTTCCAGTTCTTTTTCAATGTTAAAGCATAAGCTTGGAATATAGAGCATTTTAAGAAAATTGTCTTTTTACTATTTCTAACCATATCTTCACCTTAAACAAAATAAACAAACCCTCTACTAAGACATCAGTGAAAAGTTTTATTTTATTATCCAGTTCAAGAAATTTTCCATGTGAGGTTATTTGCAAAATGTTCTTACTTTTGCAGAAAGAGACCATTTTTATAAAGATAACTATAAACTACCCTTTTGCTTTCTATTTAAAAAAAAGCTTTATCAAAAGTCAAAAAGTAAGTCTAAGATCTTCAAACACACTTAGAGATTTACTTTATAATCTTATTATCAGACTTTTATAGAAAAAAAAAGGGATGCAACTCAATGCTTGACTAATCTTTTTACCAGAAGCCCAAGGTATGGTGAAAACCCCTTCCTGACAAATCAGTTTGGAGATTTAAAGCTTACATCAAGCCAAGCTCATACTGCCAACTATTCAGGAAAATCCAATGCAGCATTCATATTTGCAAACAGTCTGGTTAGTTGTTTTGAAGTTTGCAATGTAATGTATTAAGTAAACAACCAAATCTCTTGGTAATGCTTCTATGTATAACCCGTTCAGATAACAAAAGTGCAACAATTACTTTAACATTACATATCTCTATCATCTCCGGAGGAAAAAAATATTTTTTTAAAAGGAATTTCAGGTCTATTATAAAGAGAAAAAAATTATTTTACTTTGTGTTTCTTATTTATCCGATGCTTTTCTTTTCCTTCTGCAATATCTTCTATCATGTCATTCTCCTCTTCTTCATCACTATCATCCGCACTTTCTAAGAAATTGAATGTTTCAAGAACATCACCAGAATTCCTATATAAATAAAAACATTAAGAGAGAATCCATTTTACTTGCTGAAGAGATTTAAGAAGCTTAACCAGATTAAACAAAATTGCTACCTGACAGTTTAAGAACTCAAAAACCAGCAAAACAAGAAATCACTGAATGAAGAAGTTTCTACATCTGCTTAAGTCCTTATTATGAAAGCACCATTCAACAGACTCCCTCCTTAAAATAACAACTCCAAAATGATTATATTACATAATTTAACAGTCAACACACAATTTTCCTGTATATTATGTTAGTTTAACATATATGTATGTATGTAATAGGGGTATATGTTCTTATGTATAACCAATTTTAGTTAAGTTCATGATTCTTTGTTGTCAGCTACACTCACAGGTGTTCACAGACTCTCCAGCCAAAAGTTCAGTGTAAACTGACCACTACATATCAATGACTAAGCAAAACAAGCTTCATGCATTTCTTATCTCTTCGCTTACCTTTTGATTTCCTGTCCCTTTTGTTTTGACGAAGGAGATTCACCTCCATTCAGGATCTGTTCTAAGTTCTTTGTCTCTACTGAACCATTTGGTTCTGAATTGGAGAGCCCAAGCAAAGACCTTACCCGCTGGGAGCGTACATCCAATATTGTATCTGTATAACCTACTTCCTGAAGATACCTAGGTAAGTTAAGAGAAAAAAAAAGACGAAAGGATATTTGATGATAAAGGAAACTTAGTATTCATCGTAAAAATGACTGCTACTGTTGTATCATTTAAGGAAAAATAAACTTCACTATCCCTCTCACATGGAAAACCTTACTCTGTACTGCTTAAAGCTCAGGACTCCAAGATCCTGAAGAACAAATCACTATTTGCCCACCTCAGTTAGTCTGTTTCATAGAGCTCCTCAAACTGCAAGGAAAAGTAAGAATACACCAACATCCAACAATGCTACTTACTGTCGCAGTAACTGTCTGCCTTGCTTCCAGGTCAACTGGCTGTTCTGAGGTACTGCAGGAACCTCTGTATCTTTGGTATCTTCTGAAAGACACAGTGTCATAGTTAACATCTAACTTATACTGCTTTAAGACACAAACAAAAATTCCCATCAAGTCAGAAATATTCATAATGACCTCTAGTTTCAACTGGGTATAAATGTACCCAAAATGTGTCATTGTAAAACAGAAGGAGTTGGGGAAGGGAAGGAAAGGAGGAAGGGAGAGGCTGGCATAAAAATCTGCAGACGAAAATTTTAAGGTACACTATACAAATACAGGCCCAAAGACTTCCCAAAGACCAACATTTCAAAACCAGTAAAATGCAATTCAACTTATTAAAGAGCCCAGCATTGTTAGGAGAAATGCCTTCTTCCATCTGCAATACTTTGAAGAGCAAAACTGGTATTATCAACTTGGTATTTACAACTGCAAAATCAAATCCACTCTAGAAAAGCAGTTAGGATAGACTATTTTTTCTTCTTTGGAGTCTTTTCCTTTATTTAAGATAAAAACATTCAGAGCTTCTACAAACAAAAAAAAAGTCAATTAATTTTGATTTTCAGATTAAAAAATATTTACCCCATTTACCCCACAACTTCCCTAGATATATTCCCTATAACAGACCTAAGAGAGGGGTGAAGAGAAGAAAGCTGCAATAAATTAAACAGACAAAAATTTGTTGTTAAAAAGTTACCTGATTCAAAAGTTGGCATTTTCAAGTCACCTTGGTTCAATTCTGTGCCATATTTTAATTTATGATATTTTGCCCTGAAAAAGTATGCAGATGTTTATCAAATTAGTAGACAAGACTTTGATCAACTCAAAACCTTCTACTGTTCCCATTTAAGGCAACCATACCAACATAGTACAATTAACCCAGCTAGAACTGTTGTGATAATTCTTGCATCAATTACTTCTAGTCTTTCAAGAACACAGTTTTGAGATAGTATTTTGACAATTACTCACAATTATCAAATAACTTACAGACAAGAGTTTAGTGTGTTCTCTAAGAACGTGGGGTTTTTCCTGTGTATCAGCTAATAAGAGAACCTTTCAAAAACCAGCAGGTACAAGAACTTAGCAGAAATAATTTTTCCAGTTCTCATAGTTGTATTTTACCATTGTCATAGGTAGTCAATTACATCACAACGAATGAACTTCCTATTTGGGGTTCCTGCCTATCCTACCACTTTCAATTTCCATTTCAATTGGTCTCCTGTTCTGTCTTTGCTTATGATACATATCCCTCAGAAGATCCATGTTAGAGTGGTTGTTTCTCTCATCACCTGTATTCTCTTCTGGATTTTCTCCTTCTCACTGACTGGAGGCTTAGCTTCCAATTTCTACTTAGTCCTCCTATGCAGATGCACCTCAGTCCTTCCCATCTTCTGATCTCTAATTCCCTAACCCTAATAGCTACTTCTCCATCTGATATGCTAGGGCCTGAACAGCAGGCCTACGCCTGAATTGACTTACAAGATGAATCTTGAACATGATGTGATCAAGGTTCTCGAGTTAAAAATAGATGATAAAAATTTATATTAGTTGTTCTTAATGCCAAACTGGCTGCTGTAGAGACATCTGTATAACCTTATCTAAGATATATTAAGAGATTCTCCCAACTAATGTCCCTAAAGGCTTGTTAGTAGGAGAAATCCTCCCAACCTATATACCTAGAGACTTGTTAATGGAATATTTTAGGCAAAAAGTCTCCCAGCCATGGCCTGTGCTCTGGCCCTGGCTGGTTAGAAAGCATGCCATCAGAACCAGATGTTTTCTGCATAAAAGGCTAACAAGTCACTTGGATTTGTTGATTTGGGCCTATAAAAGCTGGACCCCTTTTTGGGCAAACCTGAGACCTCACCTATGAGTGGACACGCACCACATAGGATTTTCCCAATTACCAGGAAGGCTTCTCCAGGTCTTCACTGCAAAAGGACTGTGACTCTGGATGATGGTGAAGTACTTAGGCAATTGGTGATGTATCCTTATCAATAACTATTCTCTCTCATATAGTAATGATTAGATATATTACCTGGCTAATTTTTGTTTGTTGCTAAAGCCAAATGAGTAATATGCTTACTGTTTTATCAAACGTATCCCCTTATGTCTCTGTTACCTCAGTATTAATAATAAAACAAGACTATTCTTTCCACTGGTGTCTGTGTCCATCCCACCACCTCCATCAACTGGCAAAACACCACCACTTTGTAAAATACTGGTCTTGGTGATACCATTTCCATGAAAGTATGTATGAGCCTTCAAATATCCTCTACCCAAGTTACTTATCAAAACGCTTCAGCTCCCTTTACAACCAGGAATCTCATCTGAACTACCTATGCCTATATCCTGGAATTCTCAAACTTTATCACTGATCTTTCACAGTTTGACTTCTACCTCATAGATCCTTTGCAAAAATACTCAAAATCTCAAGGTACAGAGCGCTAGGTGTTCTGCAGTAGAGCCAAAGCGAAAAATATCCATAAGAACATTAGCAGCCATATTCTGAAGAACCCTCTAAGCAATACAGTTGCCTATCACACCAAATGAAACATTTCACCACAGGTTTAAGAATAACTGAACAACACTTAGCTCCCATCAATCATCAAAACTATTTTTGAGTATGATACTTCTCAAGTAAAGACACATAATGGAACAATGTGCTGGACAAAATCAAGGATTTCCAAAAAAACTTCTCCAATGCCTGAGCCACTATTTCAAGTGTTTTCAAACTGAAAGTACAGGTTGGTACTCAAACCTTACGGCACCTTATAGTGCCTTATATATATTTGATGGCAAGGATTTTCTTCAAGATTACACAAATTTTTGCTAAAACTGCAATTAGGAAGTCTCATTAACAAACTGTCAGTAGATGGCAACATTGACCCTTTTTAGTAAGATAAAATCCTTCATTTCATGACAATCACACTGTAACTGAAAAACTTTATAAAGCTCCTGAAGACTTTTTGTGACCTGAATCCGACTGCCAACTAAACAGAATCATATTTTTAAACTATTTATGGATATGTTCATAGCTCATCCCTGCACTAGTCAGACTGTCTAGCTCAGGTCCTCTGTTTAAAATGAGACAAAACTTTGTGCCATATTGTAATAAGCTTCCCACCAAGCTTTTCAAATATGAGAAGTACAGTGAGAGACTGGAGAAAATTATTATTGGCTCAACGCAACTGAAGTGTGTCTGGTTAACTTGAAGTTGGATAGGCTAGAGTTTGCTAAGTCAATGCCTTGCTTTCTCTTGATTGAATGTTTAGTTTAAAATTTACCCTTATCTTCTAAAGTTTGTTGTTCAATTTCCTGAGAACTTTGTCATGTTTTCCCATGTACCTGCCTCAGGATATAAAAAAAACCTAAACCCCTTTAAGAAACTTGGCAATCTAGACTGGGGATTTACAAGTACATACTACAATTTATATGCCCTATAAAGTACTGCCCATTTGGGGGGTAAAAAAACCCAAGCAACCCTGAACAACCAAAATGAAAATAATTCAAGTCAAATAAAACTGACAAAATATTTTTTGCTCAATTCATAAGTGAAGCCAATAAAGCACTATAATTGAAAAGGCAACCTAAATTTGTTCAATTTAGAGCTATGACATACTATTTAGGAGCAGTTGCTCCATTTTGGAGTTACAGTTTGAAAACACTAATTAAAATTCTACTTCAACTGTTCATTAGCACAGATGATGATGTATCTGATCTAGAATTATACCAATGACTAGCCACTACAAAAATTAATCTTCTTAAATTCCAATCAACTATATATTCACACATCTATTCCTTTCTCTGTTGGGGCCATTACTAAATACTTAAAAAAACTAACAAGCTACAATGTCATTAACAAGTCAGTGACAATACTCCTCCACACCACAGAGTAACTAAATTCTACAAGGAGCAATGTTTCAATCTTTGGAGCATTGACTTATCTAAGTCTAGGTTTCCATGAGTAAAAACAACACCCTAACTTGATTTAACTGCTTCCTGCTATTCAGCTGTTGTATCACACCACTCAGTTGCAAGGGTGTAAATTAGCTCCAGTCTAAAGCCCACAAAGCCAAAATACAGCCACAGCTTTATGATTTCAGCAAGTCGCATTAAAGACTATGGTAACAAAGCTCAGAGTGGCTCAGAGCACACAACAGACAACATCTGGCTGGGTCTGCAAAGCATGATAAAAGAACACCCATTAGATACAAACAAAGAAACTCCATTCACATAACTGCATAGGATCTAATTTTATTACTAAAAAATGATCAACTATCAAAGCATTTAAGAACACTAAAATATAGTTTTACTTGTCTAAAACAGTATTATACATGCTTAGAGATAAATACTAGAAATATCAAACTACTTTGTAACAACTAATGCATTTTATTTAATGCACACATTGATGTTCTGCTTCATAACCTTTTTCTGAGAAATCACAACAGTTGTCTGAATGAGTTTGTTCCCAACTCCTTTTAAGTGGTATTTCACTGCATGAAACTTTTTGATGGCATCAGGGAGTTAGCAAGAAGAAAAAGGGTGGGGGAAATTAGGTGCAACACTGAAATTTGCTGTCAACAATCTTCATGTCTGAAATTCTCAGAATTTATTTTGCTTTGAAGCTGGTGTATTTTCATTAGTTGTGATTCTTTACTCAGGGGAACAATGACAAGAAAATAAAGTCTATTATCCTGAATAGTGAGTGCAACAAGCAAGAAACTAACATAATATAATTCTTGGATGATTTACTGGTAAGTCAGTATCTGCTTGCTTTCAATTACTCAATCCATCATGCTTTCACAGTTAAATCCCCTCAAACTATGGAGCATTTGTAGCTTCCTCGTTGCCTCCCACACACTCACCAGTCAACTCAAGTTTCAATTCCCACTTCTAAGCAATCTTCATGAGAATTACGGCTGGCATTTAAGCCAGGATCTTCCTCTTGAAAACTACTGCAGTGTTGGATTGCACCCACTAGCCACAAGAACTAAAGCAAACAGTATGCTCCTGCTGTTATTCTTCTGGTGTACATGTTTACAGGTTTCTTAGCCATCAGATGAATTTTAGAATTTCATGGGAAGACTATAAAGGAAGCTTCATTTCAGGAAAGCAATGAGGTTTCACCAGTGCCATTCAACTTCTAATTACGCATCCTCTTATAGGATGCCTTCACTCTGCAGGTGAAATTAAGTGCCTCTGATTTATCTAAATAAGCAGGCAATTCTCACTGCTTTATGGTGTATATTTGCAAAAGTCCCTATGCAGCACACAGTTCATTACTGCCAAAATAAGCAAAACCTTTTCCTTCAACTTCAGAAAGTGACTTACATGCAAGACACCTGCATCTGCCATAATAGCATATTATTTCTTTGATATGCTCAGTGTTCTTTACACCCCAAGACTGCATACCTTTCATCTGCCCCTAACCCAGAGTGACTCAATACTTTGAATTACTTTCCATTAAAAGGACAGGGCTGAATGAAGTAATAGATCCTTTCTGCCTATTACTTCACTAGAAAATTCATGATGTGCTGATATGGCCTTTTGTATGAACATACAATGTTTTCTGAAGCACCTCTATACTGGACTCTTCACACAGAAGAATGAAGCCATCTTGCCAAAACATTAGGGTTTAATATGAAAACAACTGAAACTTATTTCTGTACTAGTCCCTTACTCATAATAATGATCCATAATATAAAATGTATTTAGACATACTTTATGCTTGGACAACTAACTTAAAAATATCCAGGTGAAATCTCACCACATTTTGATACAAAATTTAAAATTTACTCCAGCAGGAATTTTCCCCCAAAATCAAAACACACAAATAAAGCCTACATATTTTGTTGCCTGATTGTCAAGATGTTTCACCATTGGACTCAACTACTTTTTAGAGGTAAGATAAAATTAAAAATATAAACTGAGTTCTCTACTGAAAGTATAGGCACTTGACAAGATTATTTCCCAAGTGATTTTACAAAATTAACTACCAATTTTGGTTAAATAAAAGAATCAGGCAACAAAAGAAGGTAGGTTTGAAGGACATTAGCCTGTACAGACTGAATGGAATTTTAATTTTTTAAGCAGGAAATTAATGCTACAGAAAACATACCGAATGAGGCTAAATATGCAAGCACCTACCATATGAAAAAAAACCCAAAACCACCAACTTCAAAATGAAAAAACAATTTTTAAACTATTTTGTTCCTTCACAAAATATAGTTTTCATCATGCAACACATACAACATAGTTGAAAAGGACCAAGAGAGCAGTATTTTTCATCCTTTCCAATTTAACACAACTGAAGCACACATAAAGGTATAGTAATAAGGTATGAACCCTTTGGGGTTACTCAATATAACCTAACTTGAACCCAGAAAAGAGAAAGTGTCCTGTTTGTCTATTTAAGACACAAGTCCTAACATTTTGAAAATTATGCAACTTTTTATTATAGAAGACACTAAAGTTTGTTAGAAAACACAAGGTGAAGACAACCAATCTTAAAGATAATGTACATAAAGTAAATCAGAATCATCTAATAAGGCATTTCACTTAATGTAAGGGAAATCATCTTAGTCTATTAAGTTTTTCAGGTCAGAAAAAAAACTAAACAATTTGTATACCTACCTTTCTTGTTTTAATGCATATTCTAACATTTTTATTCTTCTCACTAAATCTTTCTTCAAATTTTCTTGGCCCTTTCTTTCCCCTTGTAAAAACGCTATCCGAGCCTGAAAACACACAAAAAAAAGGCAAAAACATTTTATTCCCTTTTGTACCCAAAAGAAAGCAACAAAGTCTGTCGCAAAAGGAAGAAAGAAAAGGAAAAAAACTGTATTGTATTAATTATTTCAGCAATTCAATAACAACGAAAGTATTTCTACCCTAGACTATTATCTTCTGTTCAAGATGAACAGGTATTAAAGCCTATGTAGTAACTCTACAAGGCACAAATGGCAACCAAATGAAACATTTTGATATATGCACACACTTGTGTCCTTACAGCATTATTAGCATAAGTTCTATTATACATTTTCTTCCAAACCAAAAGCCATATTAAATTAAGTACACTGCAATTAGCAATTCACCTTTTAATGCCACCATACTGATCAGATGAAAAAATGATTACATAAGTCCAAATACAGAATTTACAAATCCATTATACAGGAAACAACTAATTTATGGATTCACATTTTACTTAGTAGTGAAAACACCTGAATTTTAGACTATCAGTGGACAACTGGGTTTAGTGTGCTGCTCTATATGAAGAAAAATAATGTTTTTTTTCCCAAAGCATCCGTCATACTCCCCACCTAACTTAAAAAGAAGCAAGGAAAATTCCTACTTGCCTGCTTACCTAGTAGAAGATAATAAATTCAGCACAATATATAAGCCATCTCAACTACTGCAAAACATTAGAGTTAAAAAATAAACACAGTAACTTTATCAAGGAAAAAAGTAGTTTCTTCACTACAAAGTGAAAGGACTTGTGTTTTGATTTTTGCAAGCATCCTACAGAATACCAGGGAATTAGCAGATGGGAATACAAAATTTAAACAGTTAATAACATCAGCGGATTTGCCATCATTAGGGAAACATAATTACAAACTCATTTGTCCTCTCTATGACTTTAACTTGATTGAAGTCATTGACTAGCTAATTCACTACTAGGTTCACTATAAAATTTTTTGGAAAAGGGATTTAGAATAAGGAAAGTAAAGGAGAGACCACATTGCTCTACTGAGCTCAAGAACACCACCACCACCATTTCATTAGCAAAGGAGGCACCGGACGAGGGAGGAAGTGCTATTATCGGCACCCAATCTATCCGTGAAGATTTTTGCAAAGGGCGTGGTTGCACATTTTCATTACTCAGTGGTTACAGTCTGAAGCAGTCTAACCACGGTGATTGCAGAGATGCATTCTCGCGTGGCTCCTTTCCTGAGCCGAAGTGTTATCACCCTGTAAGACTTCACACATCAACCCTGATTTTAGCCACTCTGGCCTTGTGCTCTATGGTGAACCAAATTAAAATATCATTCTTTACCTTGCATAAGCTAACTACTGAAACAATCAATTAAAATCCTAGTGAGAACAAGGCACTTATGAGAATTTCAGTTAAAAGTCTGTCATGAAAGCACTCAACTAACTACTGGCATTTGGTGAGGAACCGTAAGGAGCCAAAGCACATTGCAAGAGAGGAGGGACTGGGGAGGAAACAACACCAACCTGACACCAAAAAACCCCAAACATACCCAAACAGACTGTACTGATTGCACAGATATGTAAAGATAAAAGGTAGAGAACAAGGTCCAGAATCAGCAAACCCAACAAACCCAACTATACTCAACTGCAACTACGCTAGATTCTAAAAAACACTCCAAAAATTACTCTAATCAATAGAAAGTTAACAGCCTTCTACAGACAACTAAAATTGTAATTTCCACTCCTCTAGTACCTAGGGCAGCAACTAACCAACTTCACAAGCCTAACATACTATCCCAATTTTCATTAGTCAGCGCACAGTTGTTCCACAGCACACATAAAAGAGTTACAAATGTGGGTTTTTAAAAAAATGCTACCGGTACATATGCACAACAGCATATTACAAACACTTGAGAGTTTAATGGTTGCCCACAGACCCCATCTACAAAAATAAACTCAGAACTACTCTGGCAGTTATCTGATGAGGGTTATGAAAGCTCCTATGCCCTTTGACTTGAATGCAGCTTTCAACACTTTCCAAAATTAAGGTCTTCTGTAAGTGATGGGCTTCTCCCCTTTACTTTTCTTCCATTGGCCAGGACCCTTTTGTAACGATTTGATACATCTTAGCTGCAACTGTTGACCCTTATTGCACCCTCAGAGAGGAAAATAATGTAATTGTAACCTACACAGAGGGAGGCATCTGCTTCCCAAATGCTCACAGCCAAACTTTTTCATTATGGAAATGATTCAGGAATACTTGGCCAGACAGAATCAAGTCTCCATACTTGAAAGTACTGCCTGGACCTCATACTTTTCAACCAAACAGCTTAATGAGCTACATGATCTTGAGACTACTACAGAATAACAGTATAAAAATAAAATTTAAAAAAATACAATAAAATCCCAAAATTTTGCTTTACAAAATGAACCCAAACCCCACTTTTCTATACAACAGTATTTATAACAATCTTTACAGAGTCCAATAGGTTGAAGAGAAAGGTTACCACAGAAGAATGCACTTTGCAGTTGAAGCTCTGACATTTTTGTCTATATTAGCAGACTTTTATCAGAATTGCTTTCTGTAATTGTTTGTATACATGTTTGACTGATTTGGGGATTTACTACTTTTTTCTCATTGTAACCATCACATAGCTAAAACATAGCAGAAGTTAGCTATGCTCACTTCTTTAGAAACACCGAAAATCAATTTAGACTTCAGGAATACTTAGTCATCAAGGCCTTCAATACAAAACCAAGAATCATATCGCCAAAAATCTACTCTAGAAATTAATCAGCTTGTCTCCTTCAGTCTTGAACTGAGAAAGGACAAGTGTCAAACCTGATACACTGCACGACCATGAGCCCTATGAATTAACACACCTCCTTTGAAAAGCAGTAAATCTCATGGTCGATAAAAGTGCAAAGCAAATTAATTGCCCTCGGGGTGATGAACTTAGGTTCTACACAGAAAGACAAATGCACAAAAATTATATCTACATAACACAACTTTCACAATCCGTATATACTCATTTGCTTTGAAACAGCTCTCAGAAGAGATAGATCTGATGCGATTTCTAAATATACTGATGACTTAAGACTGTGTAGCACAAAAACCAGGAAAGAAAATGGCACACAACAATTTTATACTCACCTTTCCACCCCATACTCCACCCTCTCCAGTTATAACAGAATTCCTTCCACTGCCTTAAACTGATTTGCAAGTCCCCAGGCTGATACCAAGAGGAGCAATCCTCCTCCTATTTCTGCTCCTTCTACTGTGCTGACTTAGCTGCTTGCGTTGAAACACATCTACTGAGAAAATAATTCTGTTTATTTTTTACTTGGTTCTGACTTACATCAGTTTCCTAATCCTACTCTGTCTGTAAAGCCATGGGAGTAACTCAGGCTGGCACAAGGGGTGCAAACAGGATACAGACGTAACAACCCCTTCCAGTGACAACATTTTCTTAGTTCAGCCTAAACTAATCACGACATCATAACCTGCACATCTAGGGCTGAAGGGTTTAAAAAACATGAGCAGAGAGATTAAGAAAGTCAAATATAAGTCTTAACTGTTCTGAATTGAACATTCAATCAAAATGCATTTTCTACTATGTTTCTACAAAACTGACATTTAAACAACTCTGGGCTCCCTTTACACCTTGGCCCTCAGCTGCACATAAAGAGTACCACCACACCAACTCACTCAGCTTTATTCTGAAAGTGAATTCAGGGAGCTTTGAGAAGAGTGACACATACTTTGTATTTGTGCAAGGATGCATTAAATAACGCCTGAAACTAGGCAAGATAGAATTCAACGGACAAAGAACTGTCTGGGGTTAAAAAACTACAAAATGCACAAAAAGAAAGGAACAAATAAAAATTCTAACATGTAATATTCTACACTTTGTAAACTCAGTACTGTTTTAACAGCATGCTGTATGTAAGACATACATGCATTTTGTAGTTGAAAGGGGTTTCATCTTTTAAATAGGAAGTCTGACCATACTCAAAACAGTCAACAGTCTTTCACAAAAACTCTAAGACCTCAAACAAGAAACTTTCCCTTAAATTATAGGAATAATTAAAATCACATTTCACTGATACTCCACATCCCCAGTATGCAATTATACTGTTTGATGAAAGTGTAACAGAAGACTTAAAGTAGTTCACTAAATTACTTACAAGTAACTTGAAATTATTAAAAATATTGTTTATCATTTGGAAACTCACATATCAAAATTTAAAGGAAAATATTCCTGGGAAGAAAATGAGGATATTTTCCCCCACCCCTTATTTCGAAAGAAACTCCTGGAATTCTTCCCTACACTTCATACAGTACCAACCATGGCAGCATTTACATTAAAATTGCACTTTATTGTTTAAACTGCCCAGAAAAGCCTGACAAAGCTCATGTTGATCAAACATATTTCTCCAAGCCATTGAGGATACAAGAAGGAAGTTATTACAGCATTTTGGGAAGGTAAAATTGCATATGTAACCTAAAGGTTATAGTAGTTAGGATATCCAGATAGGATTTGATAATCTTATTGTATTAATCAATTCTGACATGCAGTATTTAAAATACTTGTTCAGCATCTCAAACCTAGTGAAATGTATTAAAGGGAAAAAGAGGCATGAAAGAAACCTGGATGGTAAAGCATGGAAGACTGATTAAAGCCTCCTCCTCAACTGCTGAAACACCAACACTTTCCCATACACTTCAAACAATCAAATTCTAATGAGTTTACCAATACAGGACCACACTCGGAAAATACTTCCTTTCCATTTCAGTTTTAAACTTTGTTAACTCTTAGTCTCTATAAATTTAACTATTGGTCTCTATAAATTTATTTTGAAAAAACTCAACTGTATGTGAAGTAATGCCAGCTATGCAGTGCTTGTGTTTTGTTTTTCCAAAGTCCATTCAGACTTCTAGGAGGAAGGTAGGAAAGGCCTGCAGTAAGTTGGAAAGACGTGCAATACACTGAAACTACTCAGTCCACACACTGAACGGTATGCT